CAGCATATTTGTACAATGGAATATTATATAGTCATTAAAAAGATCAGTTATACAGGGGCGCCCAGGTGGCTCAGTTGGCTAAGCATCTGACTCTTGATCTCAGCTCAGGGTCTTGATCTCAAGGTCTCGAGTTCAAGCCCCCCCCCCATTGGGAGGTATAGATTGGCATAGAAAGATGAACAGAATATTTTAAGTGGCAAAAAAACCCATTAACCTAATATCAGGGGAAAAAAAAACATTTATACAGATCTACTGAAAAAGAATTTTGGAGATATATATTCCAACCTGTTAACAGTGGTTGTCTCTGAGGGCTGGGATTATGGGAGGTTTTTATGTTTTAATTTAAATACTTCTGAATTAGTTTTATTTTTTTCATGTAATATGATTTTATGCTCAAGGTGAGCTGGTTATTTTTTCCCCAAATAAAAAAGAAAGAATGTGGAGAAAACCAGTGAAATGGTTGCTATGAATTCCTTGCTTATGTTTCCCCCAAAATTCATTATGTTAAGGCCCTAATCCCCAATGTGCTAGTATTCAGAGGTGGGGCCCTTGGGAGGAAATTGATTTTGAATGGAGTCCTGAGAGTGCAGTCCCCATCATGGGACTTAATGGGGGATAAAGAGACAGGAGGTCCCTCTCAGCCATGTGAGGGTACAGCAAGAAGATGGCCATCTCCAAACCAGGAAGTGTGCCCTCACCCAAACCCAGCCCTACTGGCACTCTAATTTCAGTCTTGTGGTACTGGCCCAAACTGACTAAAACAAGGAATTTAAGGTGGAACAACTCTGAAGGGATGTTTTTCGGGATAGGTAAGACCTGAATGAAGTTGCTTGTAGGCCCTGGGAAAGAAATCAGTGGAGGAAAGAGATTGAAAGTGTGAGGAGATTATTAATTAGCTGAGGTCCTAGAGGGGTGAGAACAGTACAGTAGCATCAGAGCTAGGTTCAGAGAGAAGGAAAGAAAAGGAGGATAACACAGATAAAATTAGGGCAATTTTTTTTTAAGATTTTATTTATTTATTTGAGAGAGAGAGAATGAGAGATAGAGAGCACGAGAGGGAAGAGGGTCAGAGGGAGAAGCAGACTCCCTGCTGAGCAGGGAGCCCGATGCGGGACCCGATCCCGGGACTCCAGGATCATGACCTGAGCCGAAGGCAGTTGCTTAACCAACTGAGCCACCCAGGCGCCCTAGGGCAATTTTTTGAGAAGGAGAGGCACAAAAGGATAGCTAATGAACCCGTGTTTTTCCCCGATGCATTCAGAGAAAAGTGCATCAGCGGAGCAGGAGGTTTGGGACAGCTATCTGGAGGGGCATAGAAAATGTATTGCTGCTACATAAAGTGAAATAAGGCATGGTATCTGAATCATCAGGTATATGCTTACGAGATTCCTGAACTCCATCCCAGATGTACTAAATCATAATCTCTCAAGGTGGGTGATCCTAATGCACACTAGAATCTGGAACCTTTGAAATAAAAGGTTAACTAAGAATATGCAGCCACTGCTGATGCTAGATCACAGTGATCTGAAATAGGGTCAATCAATATATTAATAGGATTTTCTCCAGCATCATTCAACATCCTGAGAGGAGAGTATTTGAGAGAAATAGGTGGCTAGGTAGACTCAGAGTTGGGCTTTGGCAGCGTGGATGTAGGAGGAAGTCAGTGTGTCAGTGGAACCTGAGATACTGTTAAGGGCATTGTTAACCTGGATGATCACAAGGTTAAGAACTGAGCGGAGAGGAAGGAACTGAGGGACTGAAATTTATGAGGAGGATGTGCAGCACATTTGTGAAAGTTAGAGAGTGGGTGCAATGTGAGAAATGTAAGTCTTGGGCGCCTGGGTGGCTCAGTCGGTTGGGCGACTGCCTTCGGCTCAGGTCATGATCCTGGAGTCCCGGGATCGAGTCCCGCATTGGGCTCCCCGCTCAGCGGGGAGTCTGCTCCCTCTGACCCTCTCCCCTCTCATGCTCTCTATCTCATTCTCTCTCTCAAATAAATAAATAAAATCTTAAAAAAAAAAAAAAAAGAAGTGTAAGTCTTAGTCAGTGAGATGTGCCTTCTTGTGAAAGGTTCTCAAAGAGGAGTTGGTGACACATTCCAACAGTGGCCATCAGAGGGGCTTCTGAACTAGAGTGGAGATAGAGTTTGCCAAGTAGAAGAGGTTGAGGAAGTGAGGTCGGAGTGTGAGATAGTTCTCCTTATGAGCAGCAGACTTGTTGAAGCCCATGAATGGAGGCAAAGATGGTTACTCACAGTACAACCAGAGAGAGAAGAAGAGAACGTTGAGGTCAGGAAGTGACAGAGTTGGGGGGCTGAGAGCTGGATAGGCTGGCGCTGGAGACTCAGCATGGTCCTGCGTCTAGGGGAGCATGGTTCTAGAACTCTTGGTGGCAGGACTAGTCGATACGTTGACAATGTACAGCGAACTCTCTGATGTCCATGTGGTGATAGCTGGAATTTTAGTTCAGTGCTTTGCATATGCTTCTATTTTGCTACCTGATGTATTCATTTGGAAGTCTTCGTCACTTAGACTATATAATGCCTTAGCACTAGACTTCTGTTTTCCTAATTTTTGAATCCCCTGTGTCTGACACATGGTATATACTCAGTTAAATCTTCTTCTGAAAGAGTGAATGAATGAAGAAATGGAGGATGGATGGATGAATGAATGAATGAATGCATGACGAATGATTGAAAGAAACTAAGCGGCCCCATATTTCCAATAGGAACTTTGGTGGGAGGGTGCAAAGGAGAGTGTAAGTGAGTTACATTTGATGAGAAGTTGTTCATGGTGATGAAGGTGAGAGTGTGACTGTCGTCTGAAAGCAGAATAAGTGAGATAACAAAGATTTCATTCTCCACGTGAGCATGGGATGTCCAGTATCACAAACTCAGCCTCTGCTTTCTTCAAATTCTCCCCCCAGGTGAGCTCAACTTTATTCTTGGCTTCAATTATCACGTCTATGAGCACACAAACCTCTCCTCTGACTCCAGAACCGTATCTCTTCCTACTCAACTATCTTTTCTCCGAAGCACCAGAAAGCCCCTGAGGCGTAATCTGCACACACAGACATCACCATCTGCCACAGCAGTCCTGGTCCTCTTTGGGTGTAGTCTCTCCCAGTACTTAGCACGTCCTTTCCCAGGAATCAGCTCTGCTGAGTCCCTCTCCTCACCTTCCATAGCCACGCTTCCAAGTTCTTCCAGTTTTAAGATCTAAAGTTCTTCTCTCCATTGTCAAAGCCCCCCAGTTCTGGAATTCTGTAATATCCCCCAGTGGGTTTACTATGCCTACTTTAGGCCCCTTCCAATCTCCTTTCCATCTCACAGCCAGGATGATTTTTTTTAACTCAAATTTGGTAGTGTTGTGTTCTCACTTAAACCACCTATGCAACTTACCATTGCTTTTAGCCCTGAATGTGATTTATAGGCTCAGTCTGTGTGGTCTGACTCCCACCCATGGCTCCGGGTTCATTTTGCATTGTGTTCCTTCACTGTCTCTGGGAGTCAGGCAGTAGGTTTCTTTTGTTCTTGAACAGGTATCATACTGTTCCCACCCCCACTCCCCAAGGCCATTGTACATGCACTTCCTTCCCCACTTCGTGCAGTTAAACCCTACACTTCCTTCTGATCTCAGCTGGGACATGATTTCCCTGGAGAAGCCATCTGAGATCTCTCTGTTGAGGTGAAATCCCCCTCTTTTATTTGCTCATAGAAATATGTCTTCCATCTTTATAGCATACATCTCAGTTGTGATTTCATATTTCTGTGTGTGTGATTATTTCCCTATGCCTATCTCCCTCACTAGACTCTAAGCTCTGTAAAGGGCAAGAACTCTGTGTGCTTTGCTAAGTGCAGTGCTTGGCACATAATGAGTATGCCATAAATATTTGTGAGATGAGTGAATGAAGAGACCAAAGAACACCCTTGTGTAGTGTTAGTTATAGTCACAGCAATAAAGTCCTGTTTCTCTGGTCCATCCACTGGGACTTGGGAATAGGGTAGTCATCAGTAATCCTTCTAGACAATGGTATCCATGATAACTTAACCAAGAGTTAAAGCCAAAAATGCTACATTCTTGTCCTGGCTCTGGGATGGTATGCCCTCTGGCAAGTTGTAATTTTTTTAGGCCTAAACTCTGTATTTCACCCCTAGTTAGGTATCTCCTTCTGTACTTAGACTCTCAACAGCTGTTTTCTCCAGACCTCTCCTTCCTCCCTGCCTGCCTGCCTCCTCAGCTAGAAATGACGGTAGGCCTCCTGCAAAGGGAGGGGAAGGCCTGAAACAGAACTGGCTTCTCTGTGGGAGGATTGGGAGGAAGCACAGAGCGTGGGTACTAATTCTATGAAACTGCCTTGGTATTCAGAAACAACTGCTGGATTCTATCTCTTCAGACAAACTAGTTTTGAGAAGTAAGGCTTGAATACTTGACATGACAGAATGCTAGTCCTAAACAGCCTGTTGCCTGCAAGGACATTAATTCATCAAACTTAAATGGTATAACCTAGAAGCCTTGTTTCAGTGTATTTAATCCCTTTCTTGTTTACCTGGGGTGTCTCTTTGATATTCAAGCAGTGTAGAGTTTCAAGCCACTATTGTTTATTTTCTATGTGTTTTGCTTAAATATTTCATGGAAAATGAAGGGGAGAAACTTGGTTTTCAAGTTTCTGGAATCCTTCAGAAGAAAGTCAACAAGTTGCTTTCTCCATCATTCTGATTCTTGGATCCCAGTTTGTCCTCAGTAAATGAAGCCCAGCTACAGTAACCAAGGAGGAGATCCATCCTGTCCTAAAGTCTTGCAGTGTGAAACTTGCAATGGTCTCTTTGTATGTTAATTTCTCCATCTCTAGAATGGATGCAATTGTTTTTACCACCCTTAGGGAGGTGTCATTAAATCACTGAGATGATATTGGAAGAAAACAAGAGTGATTAATCTTGCAGAACAACACATCTGTATTTTCTCCATATTCTCCAACGTGCATGAAAAGTTCCTTCAGAAGAGAATGTTTACACTGGATGTATGTATACCTGATTTGATAATCCCAAACTACACCCCAACCACCCACTTCTGAATAGGGGGAAAAAAAAATCAGAAGCCTGCAATTGTGTAACATGCAAATCTCTTCTGGACTGGAGCCCATCGCTGTGGTTTGGCAACACAACCAGCACAACATCTCTTTTCTCATCTCTTGGGAAAAACAAAAAACAAAAAACAAAAAACCAACAGAGGAAAAAAAATACCTTGAGAATAAAGGTAATGATTAATCTATCAGGCACAAAAAGGATCGTTTTGGGTATTTCAGACTCTAACTCACGAAGTCAGATAAACAACAGTGAACAGGGGATGACAATTTCACCAGAAGAGGATTAAGTCACGGGCTGTAATTGGGACAGCGTTTGTACAGTCAGAGAATCTCACTAGACATCTCCAGGAATCTGAGCAGTTGTCAAAACTTCCATTTTCACGTGCAAGTGAAGTAGGAGCCAGAAGAAGCAGGTACTGGTGGAGAGACTGGTCCTTGGAGAAGCCCCACAATGCAGCCTGGTAAGGGGCGAAAGAGGAAAAGCTTCAAGCAGAAGCTGGCCTTGAAGAGCAGCTTAGCTAAAGAAACAATCTCTGAGTTCTTGGGCACCTATATAATGATCGTAAGTATTTCCTGAATTCTGACCCAGTTATGCCTCTCTTTCTATGTAGCTGGTGGCGGATAGTTTTGTTTTCCTTAAGTTTGTTACCAGATTCATCTCTTCCAGGAAACATCACGTTACTTCCATGTTGTTTGGCTATTTATTGACCACAGGTTAGGTTTCCATTTACTCATTTCATTTATTCTCAAGAGTTGATGGGGGTGGGAGAAGGGGAATAAACTACTTCATTTCAGAGATTTACTCAGACTCTGAGCTGGCTTTGATTAAAGTCAGCTGTTAGAAATTTTTCTCATTGATTAACTGATGTATACCATGTTCGTTTCCCACAAACATTGAAGTGACTCGCCCCTTGAAATAAGGATCGGTAGTCAATAAATATGAACGGCAAGAAACAACTCAGTAGTACAAATGCTTGGCAAGGCTTATGTTGTCAGATCACTTGACTTAGTAAGTTAGAAATTTCGCGAGGTAGAAATATGTATTCTGCAACCATCCAGCTTTGGTTTTGCGTGATTTTCCCCCCTCTATTTACCTTAAGCTAATCTCTAAAGGTCTTTAATGAGACAGTTACAAGAACCTTCTATCTATCTATCTATCTATCTATCTATCTATCTATCTATCTATCTATCATCTATCTAAAGGAAGGACTGATTATAAGAACCATTCAAGGATCTTGGCCAGGGAATTGCACAGCTATTAATGAAAAACTGGACAGTTTACTTAAGTGGCATGGGCTCTAGGCTCTCATCCTATTGCACATTGTAGTATTCTTTGGATGCTGAGTTTTTAGCTGGAGCAAGATCATTTGTGAGCAGAAAATGAAATGTTTGATTATTCTCATATGCAACAACTACTGACTTTAACTTGCTCTAAAAAAATAAATAAATCTGCTCAAAGATTCCCTACTTCAGGTATTAGTAATTTCATTTTTCTTAAAGTTATAGAGAATTGTCCATAAATTTTGTACTTTAAAATTTCTCTGGTAGTGTATAGCATGGAGACTACAGTTAGTTAACACTGTATTGCATATTTGAAAGTTACTAAGAGAATAGATCTTTAAAGCTTGTTATCAGGAGAAAGAAATGTGTAACTATGTGGTGATAAATGTTAACTAGACTTACTGTGGTGATCATTTTGCAATATATACAAATATTGAATCATTATATTGTATACCTGAAGCTATTGTAATGTTATGTCAGCTATATCTCAAAAAAAAGTTCTTTGCTTTGTATAAATACATAATTTAGGTGAATAAGCCAAGATCAAGAAACAAATGTGAACTCAGAAATTTGAACCTAGTGTAAATTGAGAGGGAGTCGTTAAGTTTCCTGGTCTCTGAGAGCCTCTTTTTACTGGATCCACTCAAGTCTTTTCAAGGCATATGGACAACTCCTTCTTGACTGTCCTCACTCACTTGAGTTAGGAATGCAGATGGGGTGGGTCGTTTGAAGGAAAAGAGAGTAAATAAAAGCCCATGATTCTTCTGATCTTACTCAGTGTTTACTGGAAAATCACCCTCAGCGAGACAAGAACTCTGGGGTGATGTTCTTTACAGTTTGGTCCCAGTGAGGAGAGTGGATGTCACCACAGACTCAATTCAGCTCTATGGTGACCTGTGGTACAGAGAAGTAAGCAAATTCAGTTACAATCCACAGTGCTCTGCAGAAAACACAGAGGAGGAAGTGAACTAAACATCCGTTTTGCAACTGAAAAAGCTAAAACCTCCTTTCTTAATGAGAAGCTGTTTCATAACTCCATCCCCTCTGTGTTGAGTAAATAAAAGTTGCTTTCCGCCATTCACCATTCTATTCATACAACTAGTTGCATGTCTTCATCTAGTATTCAAGGTGGGAGCTAAAGAAATATCTTCTATTTTATGTTGAAAATAAAACTTTGTATCTTCTGGTGAAAGCCAATAACTGCCTAAATGTTTCATTTCCATCTACATTGTACATTTACTTTTTTAAAAAATTAATTAATTAATTAATTAATTTTTCTTTTTAAAGCAACCTCTGATGGAATCCATAATTGTGATTATAATCTTTTTATTGAGGCTTGGGGGGTATATAAACAAGACGCTTTTGCACACAGTATTTTTTAACCAATTAATCTTCGTGGTTTTGCTCAACTATCAGCCAAAGTAATGGTTTCTGCTTAATTAGAAAACATGCATTTTGTGTTGCTTTGTATAGCAAAAAGCTTTGCATGTTGATAAGGCAGGGGCAAAAGGGAACATAAAAAAGATGGCAAAGGACATACAGGACTCATCAGGCCTTCAAATTTGTTTTTTCCCCCAGATGTTGGGAGTCTGGTGCCATTTTCCCTCCTCCTCTCAAAACTTGCTCTTAGGAGAAGCGTCTTAAACTCATTGACACCATGGTGTAAATGACTGATGACATCCACTTAACCATGAGCATTAAAGTCCGTGAAAAAGTCTCTGTAAACTACAACTAAAAACAACAATGATTAAGTTATAAGCAGTTAAGCTAGCTCTAATTTAGGCTTGTAGTCAAGGGACAAGTAGGCCTTTTTGCCTTTGCTAGGGCCCGGGAGAGGGTTTGTAATGTGTGCTCCCTAATACATAGAAGAGGTTTTGAAGCATTAAGCTGCAAAGGAAGGGAGAGAGCATGTATTAAGTACCTACCATATGTTAGCTTCTTTATATATATATCTGTTTAATCCTACAATAGCTGCACTAGAAAGGCTTTGTTAACACTCATAAACAGTTGGAGAAATGAGGGCTCAAAGAGACAAAGTAACTGGCCCAAACCAGGAAAGTATGGAACTGGGATTCTTTCTAATTCTAGAGCCAACACTTCCCACCTATTGATGGAATTCCTTCCCCAATGTCCTTGATAGATAGTAAATCAGACTCCCTCTACTTTAACATCTCCATAGCTTGGAACCATGAAAGAGCTCTCCTTTGCTTGTGGGCATGTGAGTTTAGCTGATGGGCACCTAATGAGACCAGACCATGAGTTGTACCCCAAAGCCTTCTGAAGCAGAAAGGACGTCTCAGCAGGAGCCAACAGTTATGAGGGGAAGGTGGAACACAGGGGACTGCTCAGCCCCCTGCCCATGGCTCGTGGCCTGGGGATTTCAAGCTGCACATTACATACCCACTGCTTAGAAAGTTGTTGACGTAAGAAACACTCATTAAATGCCGGCTCCCTTTCCCAGTTCTCTCCCCTTCCCCTCTTTCACGTGGAAGTCTTTGTAGTATTTGAAAATAGCTGCTTTGTCTCCTTCTGGACATCTTGCCGGCTCCCTTCCCCCAACATCTGCCACGGAACTCTGCACGTGCATAACTGGGACCCCCATAAAGTTTTGTTCAATTAAAATGTCTTTTGGGGGCTGTACTTCCCAGAATCTCTAGTCATTTCTTGTAATAAATATTCACTCCTCACTATTCTATAGAGGTGTGATTCTTTGATACAGTTCATCCTATTGAAGATGCTGAGGTGAGCAAGCCACCATATTTCCTCCTGCGGTGGAAGGGCATCCTTCCAGGGCTGGATTTATGAGTGGGTAATCATCTACTTGTGTATTGGGAAAGATTCTAAATTCTTGTCTCACTCTGCCAAGCTTACACATTAGAGATCTACCTTTTGGCATCTCTAAGAATGAAAAAATGTAAATACTTGCTATAGCCTTGATCTGTGCCCTGAAGGGAAATAGGATGAGCAGAGACCTGGGACACAGGATATGGAGGGCATAGGGGAATAGGCAGTGCAGGAGGGAGAGAGGAAGTGGGATGGGTGGTACATGAGAAATGTCGGACTCCACTGTGTTTTCCATATCTGCTCTTGCCTTCCTCCAAGACTTCATGACCATACTTCCCACCTTGCCAGAGTCACTGAGTTTGTCATTCTGTCTTGAGGAGATCTCAGATATGCTGACTATAGAAATTTTGGGGCCTTAAAATTATTATTACAAAGTGTGCTCAGATCTTGGAGTGGGTCTATTCCAGATTGGAGAGCTTTTGAAACTTAAGAATATACAATTAGCATTTAAGTAAAATGGGAAAATTCTTAAAATAAGCTAGTTCTTAAAACAAGTGCTTTGCAGGTCATAATTCAGGACATTTGGGACTGCTGCATATTTAGAATTCCCAGGTACTAGTAGGACAGCTCTGAGATAGATGCTGCTGGCCCTTCTTATTGATGGGAAAGCCGAGGCATGGGCTGATGCAATCATGTGTCCTTTAAATCAGTGTGGAGCCCACATGCCCTGCCTTAAGCATGCACTTGCCCTTGGTTTCCACTGTGCTTCCCTCCAAGAGGCATAGAATGCTTTCTCATATAGATTCTCTTTTTTAAATTCCAGTATCATTAATATACAGTGTTATATTGGTTTCAGGTGTACCGTATAGCGACTCAACTATTCTGTACATTACTCAATGTTCATCATGACAAGTGTGCTCTTAATCCCCTTCACCTATGTCACCCACCCACCCCCCACCGCCCCTCTGGTAACCATCGGTCTGTTCTCTAGAGTTAGGAGTCTGTTTTTTCCATTTGTCTCTTTTTTTCTTTGTTTTCCTCCCTAAATTCCACATATAAGTGAAATCACGTAGTGTTTGTCTTTCTCTGACTTATTTTGCTTAGCATCATACTCTCTAGATCCATCCATGTTGTTGCAAATCTCATATAGGTTCTTGTTTATTTTTATATTTATATCTTTCCTGGAAGCGGGGGAGGGAGGGAGAGAGAAAGATCAACTCCATTTTGCCAGATGGAGAAACAGGTGTAACATAATTAAGAGGTTCACCCAAGGTCACCCAGCCTATGAATGCAAGAACTGGGCTTTATATTTGACTGTAGTTATTCCTAATGTACCATTGTTTGATGAGAGTTAACTCCTTTCCTGGGAAAGCCCAAGAGAACCTTACTAATTTTATAGTGTAAAATACATTAGACACTAAAGGTGTCAAAAGATGATAATATAGAACAAACACGATCATGGCATGGAAACTTTATAGAAGATCTAATAGCGTAAAGTTTATGGACCACTTCAGTACCTACAAACACACTCAAACCTCTTGTAACACGAGGGTTCTGAGGTGATTCAGTCATATCTTCATGTGCCTAATGAACACATTGACCATGCATTGCACTGTGTTTCTTCTAGTGCTTCTGTTTTCTGGGTTCTCCTTGAGACCACCCTGTGGCTTAGAGCAAAAGACCGACAGGCCAGTGGCCATAGACACCATAACTCCTCTCTCTTGCTTTCTGACTCAACAATCACTTGCCCTTTCTCTGATTCCTCCTTGCTTGGTCTGGCTTATTGCTTTGCAAAGACCTGCCCCACTCCAAGCCGGGATGTCCAGGATGAGGGTCCCACTGAGCTAGAGCCATCGGTCTACCCACAGCTGATAGGACAGAAGCCTCTGCTGTCAGCAGTGCCTGGCAGGTTCTGGCCACAAATGGCGTGTTTGCGGGAGCGGTGTGGAAGAATCTCTGTCCTCAGGCTCTCATGCACTGGCTTGGGAATGAAGTGGCCTCTGTCGTCCACCCCCTGTGTCTTTCAGATGAGGAAACAGAGACCCGCATGCTCACAGAATTCTGTCAAATGCTTTTTCCACCACAGTAGGACATCAGAGAGAACTTGCACAGTCAGTCCTACTTGATTCTTAAGATTTACTTATGATTTATGTTTAGTTCTCAGCTTCTCATGGATTTGTACTTCTGTCCTGGGGGGTTCTGTTACTTTAAGAAAGTGCCAGCTTCTAACTATGAACATGGGGAAGAGTTAAATAAACATGGCAGGATCTGTGTGGGCTCTTGCCCTGTGCCTTCAGCAGGTGTGAGGGTGTGAGGGGGCCCAAAGCAGGAGGTCCTTTCCCTTCAAGTATGGCTATGTGATGAGGACAAAAGACAACGAAAGGGGTTAACATTTATTGAGCGTACAGTATACCCAGACACTCTTTAATTCTGGAAACATCTCACGAGGTAAGGCAATTCTTCATATTTTACAGATGAGAAAATGAAGGCTTACTACGATCAAGCGACTTGCCCACTGGCGAGTGTGTGGCGGATTTGGGATCAGAGTCAAATCCCTGCTTTTCCTTCACCGTGCTGGAGTTATTCTCACATACGCTTTTGAGCTTTTACTACTGTTGCCCCAAACGATATATGTTACTGTTTTGTATGCTTTAAAGATGTACGTACGTGGCTTCCTAGTTTGTATACCTTCTACAGTTTGAGATTTTTCCCCAAGTACACTTCCTGAGACTGCTCTGTTTAGAGCCATGTAGATGTGGGTAATTCATTATAGTCTTGTAGTGCAGTGGCTTTATGTTTCCACTCCCCTTGTAAACCATTGGGGTGGTTTGCAGTTTGTCACTAGGAGCACCACTGCAACAATGAACATCTTTGTACACGTCTCCTTGTCCGTGTGTTCCAGAATTTCTTCTGAGTATACACTTAGAAGTGGGTTTGGTGGCCCAAGGGCATCTTCAACTTCATGCATATTGCAAAATTGCTCTCCAAAGTGGTTTTAAATTTACAGTACCATCAGCAACCTGTGAGTTTCCATTTTCCATGTACTCCCTGACCCTTGATATTATTCAACTTTTAGATTTTTGCCCATTTGACATATAAGAAATAGAATTTCACTAATATTTGCAATGAATTCCTCGTGCAGTTGACCATCTTTTCATGTTTACTAACCTTTAGATTTCCTCTTCTGTAAATTGCCTGCTCATATCCTCTGCATTTTAATTTTGTCCTATTGATTATAATAGAGTATTGGTATTTTTAAAATCCAGACATTAGAGATATTTTGTGTTTTCTTATTACATAGTTTAATGTCTTAGTTTTGATATTTAAGTCTTTAAATAATTAGAATTTATTTTGGTATATGATGTAGAGTAGGTGCTCTTTATCTGGTAGGACAGCCAATTGTTCCAGTAACATTTGTGACAGTCTGTTCTACTTCTATTTCTTGTGATGACATCAAATACCAGTTAGATAGAGATCATATATCAGTTCATATATAAATGTGGTTGTAGGCCTAGACTTGATTTAGTTCTTTCGATTTCTCTGTCCAAACCAGCACCAATGCCATATATTTTTGTTATAATTACTTTCTAAATTATTTTTTGTTATCTGGTGTTTTTCTTCCTTATTTTTCCCATATTGTCTTGGCTATTTTTAGCCCTTTATTCTTACATGAATTTTAGGATCAGTTTATCAAGTTCCATAAACACCCTGTAGACATTTTGACTGGAATTGCATTAAATTTATGTATTATTCTGGATAGAAATGGCATCTTTAAAATATTGAATCTTATATCCATGAACATGATGTAGCTCTTTCTTCATAGGTCTGCTTTCTAAACTTATTTTTAAGTTTTATAATTTACTTGATATTAGTCATATATCTCTTTTGTTTGATATATTGTGGTTGTTAGTACTGTTGTGAATGGTACATTTTAAAATTATATTTTCTAAAACAAATTATATTTTCTAATTGGTGACTACTAGGGTTTTGGAGCAACATTGATTTGTGTGTATGTTGATCTTGTATTCAGCAAACTCGGTAACTGTCTTATAACACAAGTAAATTTATGGATTATCTTGGATATTCTGTATAGATCAGGTCTGTCAAATATGATAGCCACTAGCCATATGTGGCTACTTAAATTAAAATTAAATTTAAATAAAATAAAATTTGTTTTCTTCAATCTTACTAGTCCCAGCTTGAGTGCTTAAAACCCATATGTATGACTTCTGGCTACACTGGACAGCGTGGATGTGGAGTTCTGTTGGACTGGACTGGTATAGATAATATTTTTTTAGATATTTTTGATATTTTTTTCTGAGAATATGAGAACTTTTCTTCCTTTCTTGACCTTAAATATTTAATTTCTTCTTATTACCATGGTTAAAACCTCTCTAGTACAAGGTTACTAGAAGTTATAGTTGTAGTATTCTTGTTTTATTCCCAACTTTAAAGAATCTGCTCCTCATGTTTTACCATTAAGTGTGATAGTTCCTGTAGGCTTTTGGTAGACATTCTTGATTTGAGTAAGGAAGTTCCTGTCTGCTCCTAATTTACTAAAACTTTCATTAGGGATGATTGTTGAATTTTAAAAATATCTCTTCCATATTTATTGAGATAAGCATATGGGTTTCTCTTTTATCTGTTGATAAAGAAAATTACACTGACAAATATTTTTAGCATTAAATCCTCCTTACATTCCTCAGATGAATTCCTATTAATCATGCAGCATTTAGTTTGCAATGTTTTATTAAGGATTTGAACTATAATTTCTTTATGTTATGTTGTCCTTCATCCAGTTTTATCACTGAGATTATATTAATGTCATGAAATGAAGTTCTTTCCCTCTTTTTATATTTTCTGAAACACTTTGCATGCCGTGATCGTATAGTGGTTAGTATTCTGCGTTGTGAAACACTTTGCATAAAGTAAGGATTACCTATTCCTTGAGGATTACTTAGCATATGCACTGAAAAAAAGAGAGGGCGAGAAAGAGGGGAGGAAGGGAGAAAGAGAGAGAGGTGTGTACAAGAAGATTTCTCTAAAATTTATGTCTAATTTAGATTCTCCATTCTTTTTCCTAATTTAAATTCAATTACCCGACATATAATTTATCATTAGTTTCAGAAGTAGAGTTCAGTAATTCATCAGTTGCATGTAACAGCCAGTGCTCATCACATCACATGGCCTCCTTAATGCCCATCACCCAATTACCCCGAGGATACATATGTAGTGATCCTAAGGGGTACCTGCACCCTGATGTTTATAGCAGCAACAACAACAACAAAAAGAGTTTCTCTTTCTCTTCCCCTGAAATTTCACTACAATATGACTAAGGGTTATTTTATTTTATTCGTAGTGCTCAAGATTCATTGTTTATTGGAATTTAAAGATAAACAATTTTTACCAATTCTGGAAAATTCTCAACTTTATTACTTTGCCTTTTCCCCAGTTTATTTTCTCCTTTTAGAATTCCTATTATATGTGCATATATGCCTGACTCTTTCACTTTTTTTCTTTATGTCTCTAGCCATTCTCTCCTATCTGTATCTCTTAATCTCTCCATGATGAATTTTATGTAATTGTCTCAAACCTGTCTTCCAGTTCACTAATTCCTTACTCCATTGTATCTAATCTTTTGTTTAACACACTCATTAAGTTTTTAGTTTCATTCCTATGTTTTCATTTCCAGGAGTTCTATTTGGTTCTTTTTAAAAATTGTTTTTCTTTTCTTAGGTGTTTATTTTTTTCATCTCTTTAACTCACTAAAGTCTAATATATTTATGCTATTTTATGATTGTTCTGTCATCTTAAGTTTTGGGGGAGCTAATAATCCTGCTTATTTTACCTACTAAGTCTCATTGATGAAGGATCATTTCCTTTAGTGTTTTGTAAATTTGTATTGTGAACTCTTCAGGAAGGTTTGTTTTTCTCTGTGGGAATTCTATATGGCCTGAGTTGTGGAGTCATTCTTCTACAGCAGGTTTGCATTTGCTTCGGCTAGGTTGCCCAGGTATATCACCAACCAGAAATTATTGTGAAGTGGAAAACTGGAAAAGGAAGATTGACGAATGTGCATGCCCTGTTGAAGAGCACTCTCCCAAAAGAATGGCTCTTGGCTCCCTTTCTTCCACATGGGACTTGTGACCATGAATGATTAAGAAATCCCATGCTTTCTCCAAATGAAGCTGGTTCTCTTCACGTCCTTAGAGCCTGAGTCAGGATCAGCTGAAGGACTTTCCTATAGATTTCCCCTTAATAGCCCTGAACACGAAGGGCCAGACTAGCCCGGAAAAGTTCAGAGTTCCAAAGGACTTGGGGAGAAAAGTCCATTCTGGATCACTGATCTGAAGGCTACAGATACCTAAATCCAAACAATTCTGCCAAACAGAACTCTGCTTTTGATCCCTGAATTTGAATTTTGACTCAGAAAACTTGCCACTTTCATTGACTTTCAAAGAGGAAGTACTTTTGTTTTCTGCTTTCCAAAGTGGGTTTGGTTGGTTTTTCTTTAGTGACAAAGCCCATTGCAACATGTTCCCATTACTTGACAAGAAAGGAGAACATAGAAATGAGAGCAGAAGTTGGCCCCTCTTTACTCATCAGCCTTGTGATGAAGATATCACATAAAGTGAGGGACCATGAGGAAGAGAATCCTCATAAAAGTGAGGTAACTGATAGATCTGATTGAAATGCTAAAACAGCCCAACAACGAAGGCTACTCCGTACATCTAGTGGGCACCTTATTTCATGTCTGAGGTAGGATTGCTAAGCCCACTGAACCCACAAAGCAAAGCAAATTCTTTATCCATTCATCTATCATTAGACACTAGGCTGCTCCTATAACTTGACCATTGTAAATTATGCTGCAATAAACACAGGGGTGCATATATCCTCTCGAATTAGTGTTTTCATATTCTTTGAGTAAATACCTGGTAATATGATTACTGGATTATATGGTAGCTCTATTTTTAATTTTGGGGGGATACTGTTTCCATACTGTTTTCCACAGTGGCTGCACTAGCTTGCATTCCCACCAACAGCACACAAGGGTTCCTACTTCTCCACATCCTCGCCAATACTTGTTATTTCTTGTGTTTTTAATTTTAGCCATTCTGAAAGGTATAAGGTGATATCTCATTGTGGTTTTGATTTTTATTTCCCTGTTGATGAGTGATGTTGAGCATGTTTTCATGTGTCTGTTGGCCATCTGTATGTCTTCTTCGGAGAAAAACTGGAATGACACAGAGAAGATTAACACAGCTGCTGCACAAATCCCTTTTTTTGAGGAGCATCTCGTGGAACTGATGATCTATGGAACATACTTTGGGAATTGCAGGGCCTAGAATGAATCTAAGAAACTAATCGGCCCCAGAATTCCTCTGTCTCCAGGGTTCTTTCAAAGTGAAAGTGATCCAAGGTGTACTTAACATTGTTAGACCACTCTAAGTAAAGGGAGAGCTGTCTTGAGCAACCCCCATCCACATTCAGCATAATCAGACCATGGTTATCCTAATATGAACACTGACACCTTAATAATAAATAAATAATGCTTAATAAATAATAAATAAATGCTTAATTAGTTCCTTATTCTGGCGCTGGGATCATGATCAAGTTCTTGTCCAAGCTAGCATTATTTGGATGAGTTGAGGGATGTGAATGCCTGATGTCGGTCAGAAGAGAAGAGCATTATTCTTTTTAGCTTGTGAGAAACAATGGTGTTTAATCACCTTATATTTCTGAGGCCTAATTTTGTTCTTGGTACTTTTTTCTACTCAGAGAGATCTGAGGTTGGCCATCTGCCCATTCACCTGGTTCTCAAACCTCGGATTCCTCTGTTTTTATGAGCCTGCTCTAACATCATCTTTTTGCAAGTACAGCTGGTTCTTGAGTGGTGATTGATCTTATCCTGATATTTTCTCAGGCTGCGTGCCACCAAATACTTTATTTTTAACCAAAATGTCCAAGTTTCAATCTTGGGGTTTTTTTGTGACTATTTTGTTATGACTGAGAAAATTTTATTTTCCAATTGGAAAACTAACTGACTGGAAAGCCATACATAAATATGCTTTCTGCCCTAATAAAGGGAACAAGCAGACCCACCGAAACAGTAGCGGTTGTCAGAAGAGGAACACAGAACTAGGAATCCAAAAACCTGGCTCCTGGTTCAGATTCTGCCACTTACTATCTGTATGAATTTTGTCGAATTGTCCAGTGTTCCACTTTTTAAGTCTTTATTTTAATTCCAGTTAGTTAACATACAGTGCAACATGAGTTTCAGGTGCACAATACAGTGATTCAACACTTCTGCACAATACTGGGTCTTAATCAAAAGCGCACTCCTTAATCCCCCTCACCTATGTCACCCATTCCCCCACCCGCCTCCTCTCTGGTAACCATCAGTTTGTTCTCTAGAGTTAAGAGTCTGTTTCTGGGTTGTCTCTTTCCAGTCTTCCACTTTTGAAATGCAGATTAAATGTTGGCAGGTAATGTACGTGACAGTGTTAACCACACTGTATACATGCTGTATTCACCTATCCAGGGGTCAGAATTATGTGTAGTCAAACTGGGGCCCCATCGTTGACCACCCATGTGAGCGTGAGAAATTCTCTTAGCCTCCCTAAAAACTTCATTCCCTTATTTGTGAAATGGAGGAAGTAAGAGGACCTGACGCACGGGGCTGTTGTGCGGACCAATGGGCTAATGTATGGAAAGTGCTTAGCTTGTAAAAAGCACTCAATAAACATTAGTTGTTGTTGTGACTATTACCCTTATGTCTTCCAATGGCTAGAGTCACATCAACTGAGTAGATATATGAGAGGTAGGATGTGGGGCTTCTGGTAACATATACCTACAGCCTGGGCTGGAGGGCCAAGGTTTGCCGAGACTATGCTGGCAGATTGGCATTTGTTCTCCTTCCTCCCCCGTTACAAAAAGCAAGATGTTTGTAGGAGTAGGGGAACCTCTGGCAAAACCCCAAAGTGACTCCTGCCTCAAGAAAGGGGACTGGGTTTTTGGTCTCGCTATCACTGCCACCTTAGATGAAGTCATGCCCGTGGTCAGTCCTTTATTTGAAGGTTGCCACAGATTCTCCCTCCAGGAACTGAGAGGCTGGGCTACCTCTCATCCCAGAGATGTTATCACCATGCCATCTGTGGGGCCAACAAGTCACTGGCACCAAAACTCTTCCCAGGACTTCAGATGGGAGTCGGTAGCCCCAAAACTCATTGACACGAGGCAGGTCATGTATATGAGTGAAGTGGACAATGTATGTCCTGTCTTAGGATGCATCTGCCGCCCAGGCTCTCTCCACTGTGGCCAAGTAGGAATTGGGTGGGTTTTTATCAGATTTTCAAGTTTTCTAAAAATGGTCAGAAATCAAAAGTTCTATGCAATTTTTCTCTTTTTAAATACTGGCAACAGTTTCTAAAATAATAATAATTTTAAAAAAGCACGGTGTAGGCCAAACAAACATATTTCTGAGTCAATCCATCCCACTCATAAGCTGTCTTCAGCCATGGACCACCAGTTTGTGACTCTGCTCTAAGGTGTCCTTAACTGCATTCTACACAGACAAAATATGCTCACCAGAATAGGGAAAATGGAGAGACTGTGAAGGTCTAAGCCTTCTGTTCAATATCATCTGTTTATAAAAGGCTTGGCTATGGGAAATCTAATTCCTGCATGCGAGATTGTTGTCCTTTTCTTTTCCTGTTCTAACACCTGGCAAAACTGATTGAGGCAATAGTGTGAAAACCATTTTTTTTAAAGATTTTATTTATTTATTTGAGAGAGAGAGAGCAGGAGCAGCAAGAGGGGCAGAGGAAGAGACAGACTTCCTGCTGAGCAGGGAACCCAACATAGAGCTCAATCCCAGGACCCTGGGATCACCACCTGAGCCAAAGGTAAATGCTTAACTGACTGAGCCACCCAGTTGCCCCGTGAGAAAACCATTTTTATTTCAGGAAGTATCAGAAGAGAAATCTTGATCTCATGTAATTTTAATCAAGTTTCTCATGAAGCCAATCTGTCATGTGCATATATTAATATATCTGATTTAATAGTATTATGTCAGATGATTCAAGAATTTGGGGAGACTTAAATGTCAAAATAACCATCATCTAGTTAGTAAGGCAAAATTACAAAATCACGTCTTCATGTACACTTTCCCTAGGCATAAATGCTTAAGGCATTTTTTTTTTAATGACAAGCCTACAATATTAAATAACAGTACCACCCTTCATCCATACTTTTCCTACCAGTCTGTGAGCTCTCAAAAGGACCTGGGTCTGATTTTTTTTGCATCCCTGCTACCCCTGGGCATCATGCATGTCACTGAGAATATTTGAATGTACCTATATATGGAGGAATAAATGAAGAGCGGAAGGAATGGCTGGATGAATGCCAAATTCCAATTAGGGCTACTTGTAGAATTGAGGATCTTAGTTTCCTCCAATTTTGCTTTTTGAAAGACAGACTCATAAAGCACAAATCTGGACAAACTACTTATTTGGCTTAGGCACAGTTGAGGGCAGTTTAGTTTAAGTGAAAAAAAAACACAACCTTTGGACCCAAATGTTAATTTTAGGTTCCAAAAGATCTTTTCACTAGCTGTATGTCCTCCGGCAAATTACTTATCTCAAGGTTTCTTTGGATGAAAACAGCAGAGTTTTCCTCCCCCTCAAGTTATTATGCCGACTAAAAGACAGTGTTTGTAATGTGTGTGTGTATGTATGTGTGTGTGTGTGTAAACAAATCAGTTTATTTATTTATTTATTTTTAAAGATTTTATTTATTTATTTGACAGAGAGAGAGAGAGAGAGAGAGAGCACAAGCAGGGGAGTGGCAGGCAGAGGGAGAAGCAGGCTCCCCGCCGAGGAAGGAGCCTGACGTGGGGCTCAATCCCAGGACCCCGGGATCATGACCGGAGCCGAAGGCAGCCGCTCAACCAACTGAGCCACCCAGGCGCCCCAACAAATCAGTTTATTTAAACCCAAAACAAATCAGTTTATTTAAAATACAAATGTTGCCCCAGATATACTCTCTTAATGCTGACTTCTGTCTGGTGAGCATTTACATTGAATGACAAATTTTCTACTGAAGGATATTTTTCATTTAAAATACACTGCTTACCTATTTCTAAGAAGACCAGCAGCAACGTACAAGGTCAACAGCCATATATGACTCACATTCTTGGGTCCCATTGTTGCTGCCCATGTGACCCCTAGCAACCATGCCCCAGACTGGCACTACTGGATTAAAGCATAATAATTTCCTAGAAAAGTTTTCAGGAGAAGGGTAATAAATAAGTACTAGCCAAGTGAGCTTGGAAGCTACTGGGGCATTTTATTCTCAGTGGCCACTTTAGTTACTTCTTTGGCTCTGGTTAAAGGGACAAGCGGGAGTGGGGGAAACGCTTGGCTTCTCGGGTCTTGGTGTTGGGAACAGATATGAGTGCTAGGAAGTCCCCAAACACTGGCTGGTGCTGCCGGAAGTCTGTTTGACTCGTGAGTGTGGTTCATCTGTGCAGAAAAGGCCCACCCCACGATTATCTCAGCCCAGTCGCTTCCAGGGCCAGGCAGGTTTGGTCATCATTAGGGGCATGAGTGTGCCGGCTGCTGCTGACCACAGAGTTGGGAGACACTCTGAGAAAAGGAGCGAGCCAAAAAGAACAAGAGGAAAGGGTCTGATGGGCTTTCTGGTGTAGTATTCTCCTGGTGATTGCTCAGTCATCTAGTGGAAGCCGTCTGTGCAGGGGGAGCTAGGAGGCAAGCAAATACTACTCAGTGAAATCGGTCTTGCGTAAACCAAAAAGCTGTGCTGCATCACCAGCCTGTCTCACTGACCTCTGAGAAAGAAGGCAAATGGGGCTAAAGAGGATGTTTCCCTAGGTCATTGGAAGCTTTGGTGAGAAAGCACAAGTGCTGGGTATTTTTCTGAACCAGAGTGACCACATGTGTCGTCACCAGAAAATGCACTTTGTCTTGGCGCAAAATCCCAGAACTACAAGAAGATTCCCAAACGAGCTTCATCTTCAGTCCTTTCTCCGCAGCCCGATGCATCTGGTTTACAGTGCGGGTAGGGTAGATGGGTAGATGGGTAACTGACAGCTCTTGGGTCTCCCAAGTCCTTCAACACTCCCGGACAGCCCTTGTAGCGTGCAGATGGGAAAGCTGGTGGCCTGACCCCACATTCCGTGGGACCTCGCTGGTCCCCCTGAATATTGCCATGAATTCTTGGGGCTGTTGGTTGTCTTGGATGACCTCTCACTCCATCCAGTGTGTAATGGTTAAAGCACAGGCCTCCGAGTAAGACAGACCTGGGATCAAATCCAGGTTCTGTCTCCTTTGTTTTTATTATGTAACCCTGGAGAACTTGTTCGGCTTCTCAGCCTCCATTTGCTCATCCATGAAGCAGAGATAGTGATGCTGTCCTCCTCTCCCGGGGTGCGCGGGCATTGGTAGGATGAAGTGATACAGGGAAAGCACTTCGCCTGGGACCGGGCACAGAGAGCATCCCTGGTGTTTGTATTTCTTTACCCATACTGCCCTAAACAGATAAGTACAGACACTAAACATGTCATGCAGCCTTAGCTCCAAAGTCCATGACAGTACTGGCCAAGAAGCCCTTTCAACTGTTCTTTCAGTATCCACTAATTCTGAGAACGCTGAACTGTGGAAGACATGTACTATACAGGACATGTTATCCTTTCCTTCTTTGGACAATGTCTGATGAGCACAGAGAATTGCAGACCCCTTGCAATAATCACAAGGTCCCCTGGTGGTCCCTGGCCTCACGTTGCAGGCATTTGCAAACATTTTCTAAAGAATCCTTGGCCTCTGTTAACTACTGCTTTCCCAAAGGGCTCAGTTTTTACATATTGACTAAACAGATACTTGTTCAGTGTCTATTATACACTGTGTACAGGGTTAAGAACATCTTAGTTTGCACTTTAAAGGAGGTAATAGATACCCAGGGGATTTGAGAACGGTCAAATGAAATAAAATTTGTGGGCTTATGATTCTCCCCAACCCAGCATTTGTTTGTGATAATCACTTTACCTCTTTAGGTTTTATACTGTGTCCAGTAATCAGCTTGTCATAGCGGTCATGGTTCAACTGGGAACTTCCCAGCAGCCCAGCTGAGATTTCTTAGAAATTACACCTCCCATTTCTCACATCCTATCCCGTTTCTATTGAAAAGAAATTTACACAGGGTTTCCCCCCCCCCTGCTTATGTTTAGATATTTTAAGATCTTATTTTTTATTTATTTGACAGAGAAAGACAGCGAGAGAGGGAACACAAGCAGGGGGAGTGGGAGAGGGAGAAGCAGGCTTCCCCGCCCAGCAGAGAGCCCGATGCGGGCCTCGATTCCAGGACCCTGGGATCATGACCCGAGCTGAAGGCAGACGCTTAATGACTGAGCCACCCAGGTGCCCCTGTTTAGATATTTTAATATATTCCATCAGATATTGTTTGAGCATGGAATATAAAGAAGCATGAGCTGCTGCGGTGGACATTACAGTCTTGGTAGGGTGACCCGAGGCAAGGTGTTATGTAACGAAATGCTATTGTAAAGACGTAGCAGAAGAAGCAGAAGAGGTCTCTGAGGGCTTAAGTTGTCAAAGGAAAGCCCCACAGAAAAGGCAGGATTTTAGGTCAGTGTCAAGAATACATTGAGTTTGGTTGCAGAAAGGGACAGACAGAGAAGGGACGTACTGCTAGAAGATAGAGCATGAGCTGGTGTGCAGGGTGGGAATGAGTCTCGTGAGCTCAGACAACTCAAAGTGACTGGGATGCCAGGGCAGCTGATGCAGATTTATGCTGGAGAATACTGGGCATAAAGTGGATGGGGTCACGAGGCAAGACCCTGGAGAGCCCTGAGTACCAGGGGGAGGGGCTTGTGCTGCCATTTCCCGAGTAATGGTAGGGGGAGCAGTGTGATGAGTCGTGCTCCCTCTGGCATGGTCACTGAGTGGGGAGACCCTGGGGGTGGGGATGCTGGTTGGGGGCTGCAGAAAAAGCCTCCAAAGATTTGGGAATAGCTGGCTATGGGTGGCAAAGGGAGAGAAGAGGAAGGAATACCAAATGATTCCAGAATGTTTGCCCTGGGTGAATGAGAATGACTAGTCAGCCAGTCAGTCTTTCGTAGGAATTCTGCCTTTCAAATGTCCTTCTCGCTTTTCCACGGAAATTCTTTCTCCCGTTCCTACCATGCATGGCGCCTGAGAAGAACAACAGTATTTGCCCTCTCCTCTTTCCTAGTGTGGCTTTCCCACCAAAAGCATTAAAATCTCACCAACTATGAAAGGACCCAGCTTTGGAGAGGAATCACGTGTAGGCAAAACACCCTGAAGCTCCTGTCAGCTTCCCACTTCCCCTCTTCTGCAAATTTTGATCCTATGACTAGGAATGAAACCGCAACTATTTCTAGTATCTGTCACAGATGTGGTTTGCTCCCTATTTTTATTGCCACTCAGTGAGTCAGCAGTTAAGTTCATGAGTCCCTTTGTCTTAACTTATTCACCCTAAATTGGGGGTTTCCTTTTGAGTTTATACTAAAAGCAACAATATCCTGCACTTGCCATTGCCCTTTGTTGTTTAAATAGTGCTTTCATTATTGTTATCCCATTTGAACCTTTACTAAACTATCCTACGAAACAAGCCTGTCTGATATCATTAGTATCTTTTAATAGGTGATCAAGCTGATACTGAGAAGTGTCATTTACACAGACACCGGCTGTCATACCTAGAAATAGCACCTAGAATCCCGTTATTTAGTTCCCTCCAATATACTAGATGCTGTTACAGAGACAAAGACGTTTCATACAGGATCTTGAGTACCTTATAAAATTGGGAAAACCGGGCATAGATTTGTACAGTTTAAGTACATCCTGTACCTGAGTACCCCACTAGATGGCAATAGAAGCAATGAGCAGAAGGTACAGGATGACTTACCCCGTAGTAATGCCATGCACGAATATGGGAGGATTGTGTCCATTTCTGGGTTCTGTGTTTTAAAGGGGATGCTGACAACCCAGAGCTTGACCGGGTGAAACTCACCAGGAATCAAAGATGAAGGGACAGGCATCCAGGAAAGAGAACTCAGAGAGGACTTCACACTCCCTCCATTTATTGGAAGGCCTGGCATGTGGAAGAGGCTTATGCTTTATGGTCCCGAGAATGGGCCTAGAGCTAACAGACAGAAATTACAGGAGAGAGGATTCCAACTTCATGTAAGGAAAGACACCCTAGGCACTGGAACAATAAAAAATATATAGAACAAGCTGCCCGATGTGGTAATGAGCTCCCTATGTCTCACAGTAATCCAACACAGACCAGATGAACACCTATTTAGGATGTTGTAGGGAAAATGCCTATATCTATCAGACCAAGTATGTTTGCCATTGAGTTCAGGACCAGTGTAGCGTTGAGGCTGAGGAGAGAGCATTGTGCTGGGTTTGAGACCACAGGCTCTGGAGACTCCAGAGTTCCAAGACTCCTTGGAACCAATCCATGGGGTTGTGAAGAAGCCAGGCCACATGGAGAGGCCATTTGTGGGTGCTTTGGCCAGCACTCCAGCCAAGGCATCAGCTGACAGTCAGTATCAACCACTAAACACATGAATGTGTTAGCCTTCAGATCATTCTAATCCTCCAACTTTGAACCATCACATTTGATACCAAATGGAGCAGAGATGAGATGCCCTGCCCAGCCTTGCCCAAATTCCAGATTCGCAAGCAAAATAAATGTTATCATTTTAAGCCACTAAGTTTGGGGGGTAGTTACGTAGTGCTGGGTAACTGGGACACAATGTTTATGTGATATTCTAAATTGCCACCGATCTTCAAGGCAACTTACAGGTGCTGAGTCAAGTAGAAGGTGGTTTTATTTGCAGAAAGGGGATTGGTGGGTTGGGCTGATGAGAAAAGAGAAAGTATGGTGAAGCTGTTGGGTGAATATGAATGAGAGATGAATGAGGAGCTTTGGAGGCACAATGAAGGGCACAGTGAGAACTAGATCCATGATTTGTAATAACCTCCCTCCCCTACATGGTCCTGTGAGTTTTCTAACTCCCCTGGAGAAGGAAGATAAATTGAGCAGATGCCAGATCCTGACAAGAAGGGGGAAGAGAACTTGAAGGTATGTAGATGGCCGGCACAGGTGGACCTGGGAAACACAACACCTAAGGAAACAGAATGAAACAAAGTAGGCCAGCATATTGTTTGCTGTTGGTCTGGAAAGGAATCTTAGAGATTGTTTTCTAGATACGGAGGCCAAGATCCGGCACTTGGAAAACAACTAAGCACTAATTGTATAGTACGGACAGTACAACTGAATTTCGGAGAACACAGGTTAGGTGTGACGAGAGTATGAATGGGTGATGGATCCACAACAGCTTTCCAGATAGTGGGACCAGAAAATTGAGACAAGCTGGATATGATAATAGGCTCTTTCTGTATCTAAGAAGGGGAAAGGTAGGGCAGTTTGTTTAAAGGTTAGGGCAGGAAATCATGTTGGAAATTCTCTCAGTAATACCATGAAGGACAGTTCTCTCATTTTGGAAGGGGGAAAAATTACACCAGGCACAAAGAAGAAGGAAACCAGAGTGGGTGACAATTCCCCAGTGATCTGGCCACGGTACTTTAGGATATCCAAGCTCTGCCTCCCTGGTGCTTGGATGCAGGTGGGAAGAGGCAGGCAAGGGATGATACCAGAAGGTGGTATCATCATCACCTCATTACCTTTCAGGCTATAATAAATATATTTTAAAATTAAAAAGCAATCACATAAATCTGGGCTGAAATCTTCCAAGTGGCAATTTCCGATGAAGGTCACTGGAGTGCCCACACTGTTCATTTCTCCTCCTTCCTTTCCTGCAGCGCACTGCATCAGTTATCCTCCTGAGGAAAGAATAAAAAAACAATTTCAGCATCTAGGGTGGAAGAGGAGAGTGTTAATTGTTGTGAAATTTGACAGGGGGGAAGCCTCCCTGAACCCGCCGGGGCCATTTAAAGCTTTTCTGCCCCCTCTAGACTAGCACAGGTGCACGCGCATCAGACCTCAAAAGAGGGAAGACGTTTATATAGAAAGCAGTAATACGTCAGGACTGGCCCATGTCTGGATGTGTCTCGTCTTACCCCCAGTTGTCAGGACATGTCATGTCGGCTGTCAGTAACATTTCATTCCTCTTTTCAGAAGATGCAGTCAAAATGCCAGTTAGCGTAGAAGTTGTGCATGGGTCGGTTAATTGCCTTGAAATTAAAAAGAAAGACACCAAAAAAAAAAAAGAGAGAGAGAGAGAGAGAGAGAGAGAGAGAGAGAGACACCAATGTGGTGGTGGTTTTAATTCAGAGAGTTACTAAAATAGATAGGGATTCTAGAAAAAAATTAGGTCATGTCTAAGTGGAATTGATAGGCCATGAAATGGACCCAGGTGATGTTCTTGAATAGGGAAAAGGGAACATGTTACTAGTACACCCTTAGTTAAGATTCCCTGTAGGGTCTGGAGCCCAGCCTGTGCATGTGTGTTGTGTAGCCAGCCCAAGGGCTCCCCTCAAGATGTCAAGCCCACCTACTTAACCCTACTGTCTAGCAAGTGGAACTAAGATGAGGCAATGCGTCTTAGAACTAGGGATTACAGAAGCTGTTGAAAGATCAAGATAATTTCTCTGCCTTCAGGGAGGAATAATCTAAAATCATTCTATATGTATTAAATTATTGTTCATAAATTATATTTCTATGAAAAACCTCACAGAGGCACCCAGGGGGAAGCTATTTAGAATTAATTCATCGCTGTCAGGAAATTGTTCACATGTAACCTCTCATACTTCAGGCTCAGATTTCCTTTTTCATCCTTTTGTGGAGAGACGCACAGTGGCTGGTTATTATCTTCATCCACCTTCTTAATCTTTTTTTCCTTACATATATTTGCTTCTGAAATCTTTCCTCATATGCCCTTAAACAATATTCATTGCCTGATGTTGAGCCCTTCCTGAAATCGGTTGCTTTCATTATGAAACCAAGCTGGTCTGTGTATTCTGGAAAAAGTTTGGCCAATTCAACACACAGAGAGCTATGATTTAATGATCCTGTGTTCCAGAACTCACTCCTCCAGGACCACACTCACCCTTTAAACCACAGCATGAGGATGGCTGATGGCCATTTATTGTCTTGTTACTTTCCTACCAGACTTGCACGTGACTATTCTGTCTTTCCCAATAACAGTTCCTCACCAAAGGTTTCCTTCATGGCCAGGATTAAATGGTTTTGACTGGTTGTTCAGTGAGTTTATAGGACCCATTTTCTAAACGTTGGGAACTACATGGTGCTACAGTCAAAATGTTTCTGTCGCCACCCCTCCCGCCCCAAAATTCATTTGCTAAAAACCTAATGCCCACAGTGATGGTATTAGAGGTGGGGCCTTTGCAAGGTGACTAGGTCATGAGGGTGGAGCCCTCATGAATGGGATTAGTGCCCTTTTAAAAGACTTTCAAGAGAGCTCGCTCGCCCATTCTGCTCTGTGAGGATGCAACAGAGAAGTCTGCAACCTGGAAGAGCACCCTCACCCGACCATGCTGGCATCCTGATCTTGGACCTCCAGCCTCCACCTATATCCGTTCAGTATAAGCCACCCAGTCTATGGTATTTTATAGTGGTACAGACTAAAACACATGGTTAAAAAGAAGAAAAAAGATAAGCAATGAAAAGTTTTCTTCCAGTGTCTGCCCTGGCCATCTAGCTGCCCCACCCCCCCACCACAGAGTACAACCCCATTTCCTGCTCTTTTAGGTTCATAAAGAGGGCTCATGCATATAAAAAGAAATACATATAACGTGTTTTGAATACAATTGGCAGTGTGCCTTAACACTGTTCTGCATCTTTTCTTAAAAATTAAGAATACCTATGGGGGCTCTTTCCCTCTGGGACACACAGACCTCCCTCATTCTATGATATAGCGGCAGAGCACTCTGTTGAGTAGATGTACCATAAGATATTCATCCCAACCGTTTCTGAATACTGATCCCATTCTCCACAGTACCCTCTACAGCTGAAGACTGTGGCAGACTCACGATCGCACTTCCTCTTCACTGTACACCTGTTTGCAGAGTGCTTCCTGTGAGCACAGCTCCATGCTCAGTGCCAGAGGGAGTACAAGCAGCAGTGAGTTTGGCAGTCTCTGCTCCCTCGGAAAGGACAGCCTCCGCAGGGACAAAAGACATGGAGATGAGGAGGGCTTGATTGCCAAGTCTCTCCTCCTCCCAGTTTGCCTCTGTTTGCTTGCACATCAGGCGTTCTTTCCCATGGCCTTGTAGGTGGTACCTGTGGCCCTTCCACTTGCCGGATGTGCATCTGATTGTAAGCCCAAAACGGCTTGCGCTGGGAACTTCTAGAGCAGAGCTTGCCAGCTTCCCTCCAGGGACCAGGAAGGAGACCCACCGGAGTGCAGTGAAGTGACTGAGCCCACACAGGCTTTGTTTAAAGGGATAGACTGACCCCTACTCTGCCCCAGGATATTATTTCCTTGAGGCTGCTAGATCTTCTGATTGATTAAAAGGAACTGGCAGGTAAAAAGTACACGGGATCTTTCTGTGTTACTTCTTACAACCTCAAGGGAATCTACCACTGCCTCAAAATAAAAAGTTTGATTTAAACTAAGAGCCAGAACCCTGGATCAGTGCGTAAAACTACCTGATTGACAAGTGGGGAAAGAATAACACTGCCGGCCCAGCAAAACCCATCTGTATGCCTGATACAGCCTCGGAATCACCATTTGCTATCTGTGCTTGGCTGGATCCTTATAATTTGATTTGCATGAAGTTGGAGGCAGCCCAATCCGTGCACTTGCTTTAAGCATATTTCTTATTTCTGTGACTTTCCATTGTCTTCAACAGTGGCCTTCTCCACTTAGTTACTGAGCTTCCTCTCATTCCAGGTCCTTGGATGTGGCTCTGTCGCCCAAGCTGTCCTCAGTCGAGGACTCTTTGGAGGAATTATCACTATCAATGTTGGATTTGCCATGGCAGTTGTAATGGCCATTTATGTGACTGGGGGTGTCTCTGGTAAGTAATAGAAATAACAGCGGCCGTTCATTCAGCCATTCCAATGTGCTAGCACAGTGTTGGGGGCTTTACATACCCCAGTTTATTTGGACCCCAACAACCCTGCAAGAATATGTATTTAATTCTGTTTTTATAGATGTTAAAATCAAAATGGCCAACAAACAGTAAGTGACTTGTGCAAAAGCAACATTTAGCAAGAGACAAGAGATGAGGGTTAAGATTCATAACTGGCTGATTTTTTTTTTTAATTTTATTTATTTATTTGAGAGAGAGAGTGAGTGAGCATGAGTGGAGTGAGGGGCAGAGGGAAAGGAGGAAGCGGACTCCTTGCTGAGCCGGGAGCCTAGTGAGGGGCTCGATCCCAGGACCTTGAGATCATGAGCTGAGCCAAAAGCAGACACTTAACCCACTGGGCCACCCAGGCACCCCTGACCTGGCTGATTCCTAAATCGAACCACTGCATCCTGTTCTTCATCCATCAGTATGATCTTTGGCCTATTTCTTCCCCATGCTTGGAAGTCATTCCCAGAGACCCTGTGCAGAGCCCAGTGAAGATCACTCCAACAGAGACAAGTCTCTGGACCTTTACCCACAACAATCAGAAAAGTCTAGGCCACTTGCAAAATGGCTGGTGCTTTCGGGGAAGTGCAGGTCTCATCGAGCAGTGCTCTTGGTTGAATTCCGCCCCAAGTGGGGGACTGATTAGAACCCATTCACAAAGTTCTGAGAAGCAAAATGAAATGATGCGATTTAATGCAGCCTGGGAACTCAGGAGAGGTCTGTGGAAATGATGCAGTTCTCAAACGTGCTCAGAATCTTTCAGCAGCCGGGTCAGAACACTAAGGCAAGCCTGCTGAGCCTGAAGGAAGAAAGGGAAGCCCGCGCGGGGCCCTGTGCGACCTGCTGTGCATACTCTGTCCCCTTTCTCTACAGTAGCGCTCTGCCACAGGCGTTCCTGTCTCCATGCCACCAAGAAACCTGGAGCTCCAAGAAATTGAGAAAATGACGAGTCCCCCAGCTGGTAAAGAAGCAGAGCAAAGACTTGACCTAGGTCTATGTGACAGCAAAACTCCCGTCCCCACCATTACACAGTGTTCGCAATGGTCTATTATGGGAAGGGCGTGACATTACAAGCAGGGCCTTTGGGCAGAACAGTCCTGGCAGAGGAACCTGCAGTCAAGCTGGCAGGCCTGGTGACAGATGCTGCCACTGGAACACTGAAGAATGGTTGCCCAGACCCCCTGGGAGCCCCATTGGACTGGGCACCTGGAACAGTCACCTGCTGGCTGCCACCTTTCTGTAGCGCATAGACTCAGATCCTGTGGCGGTCCAGGTTAGAGATGGCTGTGTGTGTGGTTTGTTTGGTATGAGCAGTGTTTATGTTCACACTCTTGTCGAGTCTTTGCTGTGATCCCAGCACTCTAGTGCCTACCTAAACACCAGAGTAAGCAGGGGACCATCCTAACTATAGTGCAGGCCTTGGCAGCAGACAGATCATAGGCGTGGCCTAAAGCACACTTGCAAGACGCCCCACAGCTGCCCCCTCTGTGCTCCCACTACGTTCACACAAGGCTGGTGGCCACAAACTGGGGAATATAAATGTGGGCATATTTTTTAGGTAGAAACACGGTTTGGGAATATTTAACCTGCATAATACCCTGACTTGAACATCATCACATATTTATTTAGCAGAAATTGGTCCCAGACCTTACCAGTGTAGGTAATAGCTTTCATCACCAATGTGGCCCATATCTGTCTGTATCTATTGATATAGTCGGGGATTTGGGCAGTCAACATAGGAAAAAAAAGGGAAAAGACCAGCAGAAAGAGGAAGAGAAGGTGAGAGATGGCGTGAAGGCATCCCATCTGGGCCCTGAACTGGGGTTAAGCCCCTGTGCTCAGAAGGGTGACAGCTAGAGCCTATGGGACTATTTCTACTAGAGGTTCTTTCCAGTTGAGGGTTAAGAGCCGACCTGTTCATGAGAGTCTGTGAGATCCCAAAATATATGTAGAGCAGTTTCTGAGCCTGGCTGATACAAGGCAGCATTGGGCTGGAAAGGAAGCTTATCTCCCCATCTCTGGAACCTAGCGCTGTTCAGCTCCTTGAGGACTGGTGGCTTTGGGAATGCACAGAGACCACACACCAGGCCACCGTTAACACCCAGGCAGACATCAGTATTGGTTTCAGCAGCCACAGTAATGGGACGGGAAGACTGTGGGGGCGAGGAGGAGGTGACTTTCTCCTTTGGCTGCAGCTAACATACTGGTTTGCGAGCACATAGGAGGCCCTCTTTGAGGATCCCAAAAATAACCATTGTACAATGGGCATAAACATAAATAAGATCCCACTTTGTGGTCACAGACTGGTGACGTCAACTGACATCTGGTTTTGCAATATACAACATGACCTTTCTGGAAGGAACTTACCACACTGTTCTTCCTTGTGAACATGCCAGTGGCCTGCCCCTCAAATCTTGCCGATAGGAACTCACGACTCCCCCATTAATGATGCAGCATCCAACATTAAGTGTTTATGCTGCCTCCTTGTATGGTGGCTGTTTGTGATGTAACATTGTTTAAGCCATATAAATTCTCAAAAAAGCAAGAGGGCTTTGCATCATGACAAATAAAATATTAAGGTTGTCTCTATCGCAGCATGGTCTGTGAGCGTGGGAAAGGAGGAGGCTTGCCCAGAACAGCACCTTGAAAGTGTTCATTCTGCTCACGTAAGACTTTCACCTCCGGCCAGGAGGGCTCCAGCTCCACCCTGGGCTCTTCTTATGAATCATCTGATCTTCACAACAACCTGGACAGAGCGAAGACTTGAGGGCGGCGCTCCCCAAGTCCAGCACTCGTGTTCTTTCCACTACACTGCTCTGCTTTGTCCGGCAGTCAGCCAGGCGGAGCACTCATCCTGCAAGGAGAAATCTTCCTGTTGCTCTGCAAGGCACCCTCCTGGACACACCCTCTCTGATTCCCAAACAACTTTCCCTCTCAGCAGGCCTTCATAGTCCCGGCTGCCCTTGAATAAAGGCCTCTGATGATTTATTGACTCAACTTTCATATTTTAAACACCTCCTGCGTGGCTTGCATTGTGTAAAATCCGAGATGAAGAATGAGCACCCTGCCTCAAGGTGCTTATGAGGGGCTACAAACCAGAAACCTACCTGTAGGAGGTTTTATTTTGGAAGAGGAGCCTGCTAAACACATAACTCTCAAATTGCATGGACTCGTCTGAGGGGAGGTGTTTTGGATCGGGGCTGATTTCTTACGGCTGATTTCTCTTGTCCTTTCACACGGGATCCCTCTACGCAGGCTGGGTGGCAGCGCCTCTCCACATAGCCTCTGGGAATAGAGAAACAGGGCTGGCTTCGGGAACTTTCCATTGCCTGGGTACTCCTCTCTCCTAACCGCTGTTCCCAGCTTGCCTAGTAAGTGGTGCTCCTGCTGGTCTCCAGAATTGTGGCTTTCTTAGATTTAAAAGTAAAACAAACCAGTTGAGGTGTTTGTAAGGCTTCAGGAAATCACCCATACTTTGATATATTGGCATTTTTTCCCTCATATTAGCCCCTAAATGGCAGGGGCAGGTGAAGAAAGGACCCTGTGGCTTAGCCAGCAGTGAGAACCACTACCTGCCAGCCCACTTTGGTTTAGAGACTTAAGAAGAGCATTGCTTTCTTCACAGGGGGAGACTTTCCAGAAGCAGCCTGACCTACAGGTTCTGTAGAGAATCAGATGGTGAAGTTTCTTTTTCTGCTCTCCTCCTCCTTCTGCTCCTTCATCATCATCATTATCATCTCTTGTTCACAACTATGTCCCCACCCCAAAGGTCCACATTTCAATGTGGTCACATTGACAGTGACTCTAATTCACCCTCCACACAAAGTGTACTCTTCAAATGAACATCTTTCATTTTTAGGAACTAAGCCCATATGCACTCAAAGATGATATTTGAAAAAAAATTTTTTTTCTGCCCACTAAGGCAGGGAAGGCTTATAAAGATGGTGAAGGAGGTCTGGAAGTGGTATAACACAGAACATAGACTCTAGAATTCATATCAACCTGCATTTGAATATCCCATTTCCACTACTTAACTAATCATGTGGCCTTAAAAAAGTTGCTTAACTTTTCTATGCCTCAGTTTCCTCACCAGTTAATTGGAGTAATACCCATCTCACTAGGTTCTTCTAAGGGTCAAATGTATATAATACCCCAATAATAATGTATGGCACGTGTTTAGTAAATGTTGTTGCTGTTACTAGCAAAGCCGGCTGGGGTATTGGTGACCTACCACTGAGCAAACCCATTATCTGATCTGGTGACTAGATGAGAAACCAGGAGGCTGATTTCTCTAGCGGGAGTTTAGGTTGCGGTGTTGGAAGTGTTGCTACGTTTTGTGTGTGAGAGAAATACATGGTTTATGCAGAGGAACTGAGCAGAATCCACTCAGACACTGTGATCACCTCAAAGTAAATTGAGCCCCTTACCTGAGTGAGAGTCACAGCCCACCAGCCAAGGTTTATTTTCCCTTAGACATCTCTTTTCCGTCTTAAGATTGTTTTATATCCTCTGGACGTGGGCTGAGGAATTGCTAGATGCAGATTTAAACCTTAAACAACATATTGTATAAATATATTGACTTAAAAATATATTGAAGTTAACAGTTTATACCCATCTCTTTGAGGTTATTGTTTTATACATAGATAAAAGCCTGGTAGATAGATGATAGCTGGGTAGAGGTCCATTGATGGTAGATAGAGATAAAAAATGAGCCTCTTGAGTACAAGTTTCTTCCCATATCTGACTCCCTTTTCAGAAACCTGAACTTCCTAGACAGTGTCTAATGATGCATGTGGGTTATTGGTCTGCCTTTCCTCCCCATTCAAACACAAACACACACACACACACACACACACACACACACACACACACATGCACACTCACATACACTTAGGCCTCTGTCTCTTCACACAGTTCCCTACCTGGAAGGCTGAGTTCTGCCTGAGGTCTCTAGATAAGGTTTTCTGTGTAATAATTCTCCCTGGCCTCTTGCTAACATCCCTAATCCTCTGCTCTTTCTTGTAGGTGGCCACATCAACCCAGCTGTGTCTTTTGCAATGTGTCTCTTTGGACGAATGAAATGGTTCAAATTTCCTTTTTACGTGGGAGCCCAGTTCTTGGGAGCCTTTGCAGGAGCTGCAACCCTCTTTGGCATTTACCATGGTGAGTAGGTCCCCGAGCCCAGAGGTTAGGGAGAGCTGGCCATAATTTGGAGGTCAGAATTACTTGCTAGGAAGAGCTGAGATAAGGCAAGAACAGGGAACTGTTCCACAACTGGCGGGCAGTTCTAAGAATTCGAAGTTCTGAATGATGGGGCCAACATTATCATTAAGACAAATTCATGAAGCCTTTTTCAGAAAATGGTCACAATTTAAATGGAGGGCAGAACTAGAAGTCTATCTTTAGGTCCATTCAGTACTACAGTGTGACCTTGCACAAAATAAGCAATAGGCCAGTGGCTGCTCCACAAACTTTCTCTGACTTGGCTGGGAGAGAGGGTGTTGACTGGTAGCAAAAGTGATGATGATTAAGTATTCAGAGAAGGAATCTGGAACAAAGTCTTTGAAGGAAGGGGCACGGTTGAGAATAGGCTAGGTGGAGAATCTCTTCCACATTCTGTCCAACAACCAGGACCTCTGTTCTGTAACGGTCCTGGGAGAGAAACAGTACTGGCGATCGAAGACCCAGACTTTAATTCTGTGCTGTGTCAGTAAGTAGTTGGGGGACTTACATGTAAGTCATCTGACTCTGTCATTCTCAGTTCCCTCCTCTGAAAAATAAGGGACTTGACTTCTAAGACCCCTCAAACTAAAAATCTTGAGATGGCATGAAATCAATGGTTGAAGTAATTCCTTCTGTCTAACCCAAGGTAAGTCTCAGTACATTAGGACTCTCAAACTGAAGCTTCTAGGAGCTAGAATTTAAGAACTGTGCCTTCAAGAAATACTTTGTGGTTGGAGACTTCTTCCCACAGAATGTCCTTCTGAGAAATAGAGCTTAAGAGGACTGATGGAAAATCTGAGACCAGATCAGAAACTCAGGAGAGCCAGCTGCTGTGGCAGGAGAGACCTGGGGTTGGCATTGGCTGTGTCGAGGACTGTGGTCTCCCTTGAACTAAGGGCATCTTCGCTGTACCACAACACCCTCAATTTCTGGACTGGTATTAGGGGTTACTGAGAACCCCCTGGGATTCATGAATTCTACCTACAGTAGATTGAAGCTCCACCTTGCCATTTGGTTGACCTCGAAAATTCCAAGAATTCCCCTCCAAAAAATTAGTTCCCCGGACCCACTGGCTAAGGATGGCTCAAGTGTGGAGTGAACCATGGAGGGCAGCCAGGGCTTTCTATCTTTGACCCGACATCCTAGAATTTCTCTGGGCATCTCTAAAACTGCCATGCTATGAAGTGAGGAGAGGCAAATGGTGTGGATCTGCTAAGCTGAAGCTGAGTGTTGGGTTGCAGTTGTTTAGCACAAGACTGGGCATAGGCTTCCCTCAGCTTTGCCCAGAGAGCACTAATGTGAGAGTTCTTTCTTCCATAGACGGACTTATGGCCTTTGCTGGTGGAAAATTGCTCATTGTGGGAGAAAATGCAACAGCACACATTTTTGCAACATACCCAGCTCCATATCTGTCTCTGACGAATGCGTTTGCAGACCAAGTAAGTATCATTTAACAAAGATCAAACTTTGGTGAAAAGATATGATCTAATAAGGGGAATGCACAGGAGCATTATAGTCCATCAAAAAGAAAAGGCTGTGTTTCCAAAGTCAGAGGTCACTAGGCATACCGCAAGCATTTTTGACAAGTTTTTCCCTTTACCAAAGTTGATACCACTAAAAAAGTTTTCTGCTTCCTCTTTAATAGATACACTTGAGGGTGCCTGGGTGGCTCAGTTGATTGAGTGGCCCAACTCTTGATTTCAACTCAGGGCATGATCTCAAGGTCATGGGATCAAGCTGGGGTCATCGGGCTCCTCACTGGGCGGAGAGTCTGCTTGAGATTCTCTCTCTCCCTTGGCCCTTCCCCCTGCTCTCTCTCTCTCTCTAAAAATAAACAATATAAATCTTTAAAAAATATGCATACACTTGTTTCACATTGGTTGAGGTCCAGAAAAGAGTGGACAACTGGACATTTCAACCCCTAAAGGGGCAAACAGAGTTTGCTTTCTGATCACTGTCTCTTCTGTGCTCTGAACATGGAGGCTATAAGAAAAGACATTTCTATCTCAATTCAAGGACTGTGAAGTGTGGCAGTTGAGCCTAGAGTATCACTGACCCTCTGTGTCTCCTCAGTTGCATAGGTTTATCTAACCTCTCGAGGTAGCTAGAAGTGTCTCTGCCCTATGGACATCTAAACAAGCTGCACCCAGACATCTGTGATGTAGCCAATAGCACAGTTCTTCTGGTCAATTTGTGGCAGGACGAACACTGTCAACCTGATAGCCTCTTCCTCCCTTACTGCAGCCCAAAAAGGCTGCTGGTCAGCCTGGAAGGAAGGAAGGAGGGAGGGAGGACATCTCCAGCAACTCCCAGTTGTTCTCTTGTGATCACGATGGGGCTGCGTAGAGTGGACATGTGTATAAAAGGGATCTTCCAGATTGCCAACTCTGCCCACCTCCGTTTGATGGATAGATGAAAAAACCATGCCCTCATGCCCTCAGTCTTTTTCCTTTCCACTTTGATCAACAAACCAAACAGGCAACCAACAAGTCTTTCTTGAGCCTTCTCTGTATGCTCAGCCCTGTGTCTGGAGCTTGAGGGACTGACAAGTAAACGCGAGTCATAAAGATCTGAGATTTGGAGTCTGAGTGTCTGAATTAAAATAACAGTTCTGTGCCAACTCCCTGAGCAACTTTAGCTAAATTACTGAACTCTGGGGGTCTCGTAAAGTGGGGATAATATGAGCACTTATCAGATTACTTTGTAAGGACGAAGTGAATAATATGAGGAAAATGCATTGTAAACAGTCTCTGCCCAGGAATTTTGAATCTAGCAAAAAACAAAATGAGCACCTGAGGACAAAAGGAACAATGCAAAAGTGAAGACAATTAGATGGGAAACTGGACTGTGGGAATCACATTGGAACTGAGAGCCTAAATGAGCTGGGATGATGAGAAAAGTTTTGGTGGCAAAGATACAGAGAGATGTAGCTGCCAGAGAAAAAGGAATGTTCTCATAAGCTGAAAAAACAGAAGGATAGTATTCAAATGAAGTAGTTTAGGGTTTTATACTCTATTCCATACTGGGAGTATTAGACTCATTTCCAAATGTCACAGTTCAAGAGGGCATACTACTACAAGAGAGGAACCAAAAGCTAATGATGTCACACAACAATGAGTGGAGAATGGGGATGTTTGTTCTAGAGCAGGTGTGTGTGTGGGAGCTGTGGGGCTGGAGGTGATGGGATGGACTAGTAGCTTTCAAAGAGTTGAAGGAATGTCAAGTGCAAAAGAAGTTAGGCTTGGTATGTACACCCTCCATGGAGATTTGGTGGAAGTTAGTACATAACAGGTGCTCAATAAATATTACTATACTTACATATTAATTATATAATATATATACACTAATATTTATACACTAATTATAAAATATTTAGTCCATGAAATTATGGTGAGATAAAGTTACACCCAATAAAAGGAAGACCTTTCTAGCAAATGGGGCTGGGCTATCTCATTAGAGATTTCTCATGTGAATTCAGGTCCTTTCCATTAGAGGTAAGAGAGAAAGAAGGCTGACTTTCTCTCTCTCAAACCTTGGCTTTCATCGAAAAGGACAGTATCTTCATTCCTTTTGAAAGTGGCATGTGTCATTCTACTAGAAGAGCCTGAGAGAACTGGTATCATTTCCCTAATGTTTAGTACTGTTTGCCTTTTTTCATTACAAATTAGTTTTTCCCACTTCTTTCTTTCTTAATTCTACTTTTCTCTTATGAATTTTCTTTTCATTTCCTTTGCCCACGTATCCACTGATGTCTCACGTTGTTTTTCTCACCAGTTTGACTGAGCATCTTTAACCATTTTGCCAGCCGGCAGCTTGCCTTTCTGTTTAGCGGGATGGTAGCTTAGCAGGATAGTTGTAGTCAAGCTAGTAGTCTCCAGAGCCGAACTCTCTGGGTCCACACCTGACTGCCACTGGGTAGGTGACCTTGGCACGTCACTAATGTGTAAATGATGCTAGCCCCACATCTAGGATTGCTGTGATGAGAAGAGAGCCTGGCACAGTGCGTGTTAGTTATTACCGGGTTTGTTTTTAACAAGAGGGAGTGAATTCTGAGGTGGGTGAGTGAGCAGAATACAAGTTAAATCCTTTGTGCATTTTCTCTGTCCCCAGGTAGTGGCCACCATGTTCCTCCTCATGATTGTCTTTGCCATTTTTGACTCCAGAAACTTGGGAGTCCCCAAAGGCCTAGAGCCCGTTGTCATTGGCCTCCTGATTATTGTCATTTCTTCTTCCTTGGGACTGAACAGTGGCTGTGCCATGAACCCAGCTCGAGACCTGAGTCCCAGACTTTTCACTGCTTTGGCAGGTTGGGGGTTTGAGGTCTTCACGTAAGTAATGGCGGTGTCGGGGGAAGAGAGATTCACGCTGTGCCTCACTGGGAAGGGCTGTGCTTGGACCGGGGAGGTCCGGGAGAGTTCAGTTAGGAGCATGGAGATTAAGTGCATGCTCTGGTCATCAGTGTGGATTGTTTCACTGACAATTTGTGATTTGGGGTGTGGGGGAAGGGGGAGACACACATGGACACAGATAAAGAGAAAGAGAGTGGGAGAGAGACAGAGAGAGGGTCCAGGTAAATTCAAAAGAGATAGGCCTACCCTATATAATAATAATAAATCCTCAGTTAGTAGATGGCTTTATGTGAGTATTTTGGTTGTATAGGTTGTCTGCAGATTCACTTTGTGATAAAGTTGCACCTAGAATTTCCATCTTCTGATACGACTACTGGGCTCTTGCTAGTGAACCATGCTATGCTTCACTCATTCAGCAGATCTTTACTGAACACCATCTGTGCTGTGGTCACTGTGCTACGTAAGGAGATTTCAAAATCAGCTAAAACACTAGCCTTGAGCAATATAGTAAGGGCTCTGGCAACCCCCAAAACAAAGTGCTTAGTGAACGCAGACAAGAGAGTGACTAGCTATGCCTCAGAGGTTGGGAAAGGCGTCACCAAAGAAGTGAGGGCTGAGTTGGGTCTTGAGGTATGAGTAGGAAATCCCTGGTGGAACAGATATGAAAGAGAGCCCATGCACAGGAAATGGCAAGACGCCATACTTTCTACCTCAGAATGTGCTGAGGAAATACGTCAACTGTTGGTACCAATCTTCCAGGACACACTGTGCCCATTTATTCCTTCCCACTTTTGCCCCATGCAATCACAGTGGTCTGTCCCCACCCACTTAGCACATCTCTCTGTGGGAAAGGAACTTACATTGGTTCATCAAGTAACAGGGCTCTAACATGGAGAAAGAGAAGTAGGAAAGACACGTGTGAGGAAATTCTAGTGATATTTGCTGTGAGAAAAGACTTGAATGTCCCTAAATGCTGACCTGTACATATAATCATACACATGTGATGACTTATTTAAGTGAAAGTTTGGGTTGTCTTCACCAGTGTGAAAAAGTAGCTATTAAAATAACTGACACCAGTCATATCACCACCACAGACAGGGTTGAGAACTGCTAGAATGTAAGCATCCTGAGGACAGGGACCTGGCTGCTTCCTCACCGCTGCCCCCAGAGTAACAAGACCAGGGCTTGGCATATACAGAGTCTCAGGAGACGTCAATAAAGTCTGAATGAAAGAATGGGCAAATGCTATGTGCCTGGCATGTCCTAGGAGATGAGAAATACAAAGAAAATCAAGCAACATCTCCTATCTTTAAGAAACTAATAATTCAATGAGTTTTCTAGACCAGTGGTTCTCAACCAGAGGTAATTTTTTCCACCCAAAGACATTTGGCAATGCCTGGAGACATTTTTGGTTGTCACAACTGGGGAGGGTGGAGGTGAAGGTTATTACTGGCATGTAGTGGGTAGAGAGAGGCCAGGGACACTGCCAAGCATCCTACAGTAGCCAGGACAGATCCCCACAACAAAGAATTATTTGGCCAAAAATGTTGAGAGTACCACGGGTGAGGAGCTCTTGTTCCAGAATGATTACCGCTAGGACATGAAAAGGTTGAACAAAATGTCCCCAACTAAGAAGGTTCTTTTGTATCCTCCTGATGGAGAATGAAAAACATGTCAGAAAGATTCCCAGAGCCCAGAATTAACCTGAGTTTCGTTAATCCCACCTCCCCGAGCCTCAGTCTAGGAGACTGCTGCCCCCACAGCCAGGTCACCTCTGTTAGCTTCACACAGACCCCTGGAACAAATAGACCTCGAAGGCCTCCTTTTGAGCCCTGTTTTGTGACTCACCCAAAGCTCTAGGAGTGGTGGTGCTTCTAAGATCAATAGAGGGCTCACCTGTCCTCCCTTGGCTTTAAGTATATGGTAAGAGATCATGTCTGTGGTCTACTGCCAGACCAGCTCCATGTCCCTCTGTGTCAGGGTCTTTTCCCTTCGTGCATTCGTTTATCCACCCCTGCAGCAACCTGATCTCTTGCTCAAGGCCCCCGGGCTGGAGATGATGAAACCCAGCTGCTGCCCTTCTGCTTCCTTTGTGTTCTGTTCAGCGGGCTCAGCATAGGCGCTTGCACCAGTTGAACCTGCCTAGTGCCATTAAGGAGATTTGACTCGTTAACTCAGGCACTTGAGAGGTTTGCAGCTCCAAATTTAGGAATTACGGGGGTGGAAGTAGGGGCATTTTATAGTATTTGGACATGCTTAAATGGGGGACAGAGAGGAGATTTCAGGCAGAGAGGATCTGTTTACAAAGACGGAATGTTAAACTAACAAGTGATCTCGTCTAGCTGGAAGGGTGCGTGGAGAAGGCTGGAAAGGACAACTCGTGTCGGATCACAGAGGCTCTAGACTCCCAGAGTGAAAGACTGGGGTCTGGGTTGCTCCCTCTTCCATAGATTATGGGAAGCAATGGAAGGATTTAGAATAGAAGTTTGACATGCTTAGAACTCCAATTCACTAAATTAATCTGACATCACTACATAAAATGGATTAAAAAGGAGAGATAGAGGAGCAGAAACCGGTTAGGAAAGAGCTGGCTGGCTGGTGATCTTCAAAACTTCCCAAGAAAATCTTGGAGGGATAACCGATCTCCAGGGTGTTCCTAGATCGTCCCACCCTTTCGGGGTTCCTCATCCCTGGTAAGCATCTCAGGAGATAACCCTAGCTTGGTGTCAGATAAGACCAAGACTGCCTAACTCTCGGGTCCCCACTCGTCCCTGTCTGGCAGGCAGTGAGGATGACCGCGGGTGGGGGGGGCACCAGAGACTTGCCCTGACAAGGGCAAGTCAATAGACCCTGGCTGACTCTGGCTCTTCCCTTAATTAGGAGGTTTTCCATCTAAGCGCTCTCCACGAATTCACATTAAGGTGTTAATGACTTCATGGATGAAGGATCTCAGGGATATTGTTAATATTTTAAATAGTTGACCCAAAGGAATGAATCCCTGATGGTGGTGCGTACCTTAAGCAAGTAACACAGACGTTGTCCTGGCATCCCCCAAATCACAGCATGCGGATGACACTGTGGGCACGTAAGACCCGGCCAGGCAGGAAGCCACGTGCGAGGGCCGCCATGTCTGAGCTGTGACCCTGGTACCACATGTTCAGCCCTGAGAGTCCGGCCAGTGAAAGAAGGACGTGAGTCCTGGCAGATACCTGGGACCCGAATCTGTTAAAGGACAGTGAGATTTGCGGTTAAATCACGATGAGAGAAAGGAAATGAGAGAAAAATAAGGGGGCTTATACTTGTTTCATGTGTTTACCAAAGAGAAGGCTCCTAGCTCTTTAAAGCCCATGTGCCTCTCATAGGAAAGCCCTCCTGGATTGGGGGGCTCGCCCCTTCTGGGTATGGAGAGCAGGCAAGTGCAGTGTCCTCTCTCCTTCGTAGTAAGAGTGACATCTGGTGGCCGTGGTGCTCAACCTCAGGGCTCTGCCCTGGAGCCTGAATTCATGAGCTAGGATTTCTGGGGATGATCCAGGTAGAAGGGATCGCCATGCAGAGGGAAGAATGAGGGTCAAGAGCAGGGCTTAGTTCCTTTATTATCCTTTCTGATTCAAATGTGATACAAACAACAGGCCACATGGAACATATATATGGTTATTAAGCATAATGATAAAAAGAACAGCCATGAGCATTTCCCCAACTGTGAAGTCCTCAATATACGCGCGTGCTCCTGCTCTTTCCTCTGCCTCCTCTGCATTATCCTCAATGCTGGTGTTTATCATTCCCCTGCTTTAAAAAAGTCTTGTCTGAAATGTATAAATCCTTAAATAATTTTAGAGTATTATTGTACAATTTTGCTTGCTTCTGAGCTTCGTGGTCCTTCCTATGGAGTTATTTAAATGGATTTCCTGTCTCCGGAAAAGATGGTGGCAATTTACGAAGGCACCTGCTTTCTCCCAGAGCTATACTTCTAGTATAATGTACTGTCATTGAGGACTTCTGCAGAAGACAGGGAATCATGGCAGAAAAGCCTTATCAGAGAGTAGCTTGAAGCTGTGACCTCAAAAAGTCAGCATGAAATTAAATTATATTTAGTAGGTAATTCATATGTCCACCTTTCATTTTTTAAATTCATTCATTGACAAACATTCCTGATTGTTTATTCTGTGATTGCCCTCCTAGACCAACGTTATCCAGGAACCTCTCCACACCCTTCCATTTGTAATCCCCAGGACTCATCATTTCAGGATGAGGGAAAGGCAGTTCCTGAAAAATCGACCAACACTGTCCCTAGATGCCTTCAATTCTGACAGTGGGTTCAGGGACTCCCTTTCATGAAAGGAAAATAAATGGGACATATTCTCTCACGAGTACTAATAGGACAATGGAATAGATCATCTGAAATAAGGTATATGAAAAATCTAGGATGATGCTTGTGAAGCACAGTGAATGTCCTTATACTTAGCTCTTGCTGAATTAAAAGGGAACCATGAGCATGAGAAAGATGGGCTTGTTAGTGAATGGCTAGTAATACCAGGGGGAAGATCCAAGTGGTGTGTCACTAATTTCTTGTTTGATTTCAGAGCTGGAAATAACTTCTGGTGGATTCCCGTAGTGGGTCCTTTGGTTGGCGCTGTCATTGGAGGCCTCATCTATGTTCTTGTGATTGAAATCCACCACCGAGATCCTGACCCAGACTTCGAGACAGACCAAGCTGAGGACAAACCAGAAAAATATGAACTTAGTGTGATAATGTAGTAGTGTGCTCAGTTCAGGTCTACAATTGGCTGCACTAGTATTCTCTTCAGAAAAGATGGCATCCAGGGGCCTGTGTTTTCATAAAACTAGGGTGGAATCCACCCAATTTCCTCTGCTAGCCATGTGAGGCTCCTAATTGTAAAAGCATTCAAGGGAAAGTTTGTAAATGCTGACCTCTTCTTCACCGGTTTCCCCTAGAATAGCACTGACTGTCCCCTGAAATAGCCTTATCTCCTGCTCTGCTTGTTTCATCCTTTGATGAGAATCCTTATTACTAGGCGAGCACTGATAACTTAGAACCTTGACCATGGACTTATTTGGATGATCTCAGCTGCACGACCTATATGAAAAAGCATTACGAAAGCCTTGTTTCTTCCACAAAGGTTATGTTTTGAGTATCAACCAAAACTAAATTGAAAGACAAAAACTGTGATTTCAATTAATATGTCCATGAATTAGGGAGCTAATAGGTTAACTCTGTAGTTATGTTGTGCCACTATATTGGTATAAATACAGATATTCTTCAAACCTAGAGATACAAGAATCAGTAGAATATGCTGGAAAGCACAGGGGAAGGACACTGTGGCATTCAGAAACCTCAGGAGACAAGATAAATTTGGGAAACCAAATGGCATTTTTTAATGGAAACCATTTATCAGATTAATCTCTTGCTCTTTACATTTTAGAGGGCACCAATTAATTTTCTTGTCTTTAGTATATAATAACCTAAAATACAACTGTAACCTCAGTCAGGAAAATTACATCACCCTGTATTTTTAACTCAAATGTACTTTCCTAATTGTCCACTTGAGGACAGGCATTTGACAAGTTAAGTCAGTGTCTGCACTCATCCATTATTCCACACAGGCCCTAGAAGCCAAAACTGGAAGCCATGGGATCCTGGTCTAGTGGAATCTTCAGGATGGAAGGTCCCAGGAAAGATAGTATTACCTTATTGGGCTTTACAATTCACAAAAACACTTTCACCTTTATTATCTAATTTAATCCTCATAATGACTGTCCGAGGTAAATGCCATGCTGCCCCAATTTTTCAGATAAGGAAACAAAGTCTTGGGGAAGTTAAGTGAGTTGCCTAAGGTCACATGGAAGGTTGAACCTCGTCTACTGCATCGTACACCTTTCAGAAGATCAGTAACTGGCCAAGAATCTCGGCCAGCCCTCCTTGGCCGGCCAGAAGACATGGGATTGGCAGCTGCCAAAATGTGTACACCTTCTGGATATAATGTTCCTGGGATCCTAAAATATAAAGACCTTCATCGTGTGTGTTTTTTTTTTCTTAACATGTAATGTATTATTTGTTTCAGAGGTACAGGTCTGTGATTCAACAGTCTTACACAATTCACAGCGCTCACCATAGCACATACCCTCCCCAGTGTCTATCACCCAGCCACCCCATCCCTCCCACCCCCCACCACTCCAGTACCCCTCAGTTTATTTCCTGAGATTAAGAATTCCTCTTATCCGTGAGACTATCATGTGGTTTTATTCCCGCTGTTACTGAAACACTAACAAAGGAAAGAGGTTGCAATTTGGTCATATTTTTCATGTGTTGATAAAACATTATCAGAATGCCTCCCTCCTTAGCCCACCCTTGCTCTTTCTAAATCTCACGCCTCCTTCCCTGCCAGTCAACAAGCATTACATCTGGGGAATTTCCCATTGGTCGGGCTCTTCCCTGTGAAGTTCCCTAATTGATGTCACTTTGGTGACAAGTCTCTGAGTTACAAGCACCAGAGAAATTGCTCTACATCAAATGATGCACCTTCAGTCAAACTGTTAAAAAGCCCAGCATTCCCAGAGGTATCCAGGTTCCCAACTGCTTTGTGATGATAACAGAACAAAAAGTAATTGTGAAATGTCTCCAGTGGCCTATGTTCTATAATCTACCAACATGGAATTTTTTTTCTTGCTCTGAAACTACCTGGATATTTCCTATTTGAAATAAAATTGGTGGCCCTTTCTTTTTTTTAAGTTTTTATGAGTATTATGACTGCTAAGTACACATATTTATCCTATGTCAAATTGAGATCTCTTGGGGAAGTTTTAAAAAAATACTAAGGCCCAGTTAATCATTTGTAAATATTGCAGTGATTCAAATGTGCAACAGAGGTTGATAACATTGACTTGGTTAAATTACATATGTCTAAGCCTTCTTTGAGAACCATGTCTGGTGGTGGCCAGGTGATTTCTGGTAGGATTCTCAGGCTTAGGATCCTCATAGATTTGAGAGCAGTGGTTCCCTACAGGGAGCAGCTTTACCCCCTTCTCGGTCCCTTCCACCATCCCTGCAAGGGGATATTTGGGCCAAGTCTGGAGAGATTTTTGGTTGTCACAGTTTGGGCAGGAGAGTTACTGGTGGGTAGTGGGTAGAAGTCAGGATGCTGCTAAACATCCAACAAAGGACGGGATAGCCCCCCTACCCCCACTCCCCACAATAAAGAATTATTCAGCCCAAAATGGCAATCATGCAGAGGTTGAGAGAGTCTGGATTTGAGAAAAGGTGAAGGGAGGAATAAGAGAAGACACTGAAGCCCTGTGCCCTGATTCAAGTTCTGCAAAAACAGAAATGCCAAACAAGTCAGGAAGACCCCTGGGGATGGATTATAATTATTAGAGGAAGAGGCAACCTAAAATTTGAGTTTCAGGTTGGATTGTGGAACCTATGATCCATGCAGGTGCTCATTAAACACTAACTGGTGAATAATGACCAGGATCATGAAGAGGAAATGCACACTTACGGAAATCAACCCCAGGAAGGCTTTTTTAAATGGGAAAAAAAAAAAAAAGTCCTCTAGTTCTAGGGGTTTACATTCAAATTCTCCCTCTCCCCCAGTTTACAAGTGGGTTTGCCTGTGATGGGTTCTTATTCCAGAGAATGTCTTTGTGGTTGAATGATCTATATCAGAAGTCAAGTAGAGCCAATAACCTATTTTTTAAATAGATCCTTTAGGAGCTGGAATTTTACCCCCCCTTCCTTGTCAATCACAAAACTTAATAGAAGCATTTATTTTAATGCCAAAAACAGAATTTCTCCATGATTCCCCAACCCATTGAGATCTCAAAGTATGTCAAATGTTGTAGGACTTTTCTAACCAGTAAGAACCAGAGTTAATACTCAGCTGTTGAACAGGCTAAGTGAAGTAGAAATGCCACATTTAAAATCTGGTCCTTAAGATATAAATTACTGTTTCCTTTAAATTGCTTACACACACACACACAAACGTCTTATATAGAGACACATCAGTACTCAAAAATATCAACTTCCAGTTAAAGAGAATGGTTTACAAGTTTTATTTAGCCACAGAACCTATTGTTCAAATGAAATCTTATATGGTAACCACTAGTAAACAAAAGCTGCTATAAATAGAAGGAGGGTGGGGAAGGGGATAGAAGTTTGGCCCTGCCTGTGTATCATCATACTACCCCCATCTGCCCCCAGCCCAATGCTGAGGGGTCTCTGAAAAGAAACTCTATGTGTGTATGTATGTAGGGGATCTTCAGAACACAATTTGAAAACCATTGATAAAGGACTTGGGACAAGTTGTTGATGAATATTTTTGTAAAAGGATGAGATTCAAGAACAGAACCTACCAAAGGTCATGGTAGTTCAATCTTGGGTAATTTCCCCAAGACTTCTTAATAAATTAATTAGATACATTAAACAGAACTACTTAACCCACCAAACATTACAAAGACATGTGTATCAATTCTCAAAGTGGGAATTTAAAGTTGTCTGAGATAACATATTTACTAATCACAGCAAATGGAGAGAAGCAATGTTAGTCCTGGGTTAATTACTGGGTTGACTCTCTAAGTCTCTATAAAATAAGTAGGTAGATAGATAGGTGATAGGTAGGTAGGTGGGTAGGTAGATAGACTGATCCACCAAGCCCTAAGCTCTTGTTGCTGGAAATGGACTAGCTCTTATCTAAGAGAAGCTGTCTTTATATTACGGAAAGAAATGCCTCCATATGAACTGAACACGAATAAGTGAACTGAATGAGCTGAGAGAACCCAGGGAACTCTGTGTGGGTGGAGATGCTGCCCAAGCATAGTTTGACTCTGTCTCCCTCCAGATGTGTCATCTGTGGACTTTAGGCATTTTTGCCTTTGTGGGCCCCTTCCCTTGCAGATTTTTTTTTTAATAAATCATGTTTTATGATTATACTAGTAGCAAACTAGATTGTAGATTACATATATATTTTTTCATATGATGTTAGAGAACATTAAAACATTTTCATGGGCTACTAAAAGTATCCTGGGCTCTAGGTATCTTGCTTAATGAGTAAGTAGGCCCTGCCTCTTACCTCCCTCACAACCCCCCCGCCCCGGTGTCCCAGAGCTCAGTTACAATGCAGCTTCTTCCCTGTGGCTCTCAACTCCCTGCCCATGGGGTCTCAGGTAGTAGGTCAAGGGGCAGACTGAACCCGGGAGTAGGGATGGAGACTGAGGAGAGCCTTGAGAGTTCTAGAGGTTGTGAGGGATACTCCAGAGGCCAGAACTATGGCCATGGGGATTGTACAAATCTTGGTCCTTCTCCCTCCTTCTCAAACACTAAGCAAGAAAGGGGCTTCCTGACCTGAGAAGGAAACAGGGAGGTCCTAGGGCCTAGACATCATAAGCTCCAGAGGTACTATAATATGTTATTAACACATAATTCTTCTGTAGTGTCTTACAGTTTACAAAACATGTTCACATTCAGTATCTTGTAAGACTCTCAGAACAGCTAGACAGGTATATTATTATCCCCAGTTGAAGATGAAGAAACTGAGGCTCAGAGGCCTAAATGATTTGCACCAAGTTCCAGAGTGAAAGAGTGGTAGAGGTGGAATACAAATCCCATGTCTGAGTAGGGTGACCACTGCTCTTTTATTCACCACTACTGTCCTAGTGCTTGGAACATGGTAGCTGCTCAATAAACACTAGTTGAATGGATGAAAGAAGGGATTATGGAATCAGACTCCCTGGGTTCAAATCCTGGCTCCTCAGAAATTTAGTTACTCGTAAAGTAGCCGAGTTACTTAGCCTTAGTTTACTTATCTCTTAACTAGGTATAATAATAGTGAGATAACCAATGTAAAGCTCTTAGAATAATTCCATGCTCATGTTATATATTCAATAAATATGAACTAGTGTTGCTGTAGCAGCTGCCATTTTTATTAATGTCATTACAATATGGTGTAGTTTGAAAACATGGAGTAAGGAAATCAGAATTTGGTTAGAAGCTCTTCTCTTACCCTCCATAATGTAATAATTCTTGGTTACATATATGTTCTGGATCTTTAGAATGGAATCAGGTATAAGTTGTTATCAACATAGACTGTTCCAGATAATTTGTTATATGTAAGCCTCATGGTAACCACAAAGCAAAAACCTATAGTAAAAGCACAAAAGATAAAGAGAAAAGAATATAAGTATACCACTAAAGAAAACCATCAAACCACAAAGGAAGAAAAGAAGAAGAAAGGAACAGAGAGGAACTACAACAACTGCTAATAAACAATTAACAATATGTCAATAAGTACATAGCTATCAATAATTACTTTAAATATAAATGGACTAAATTCTCCAATCAAAAGATACAGAGTGGCTGAATGGATTGAAAAACAAAAACAAAGGAGGCAACTGGGTGGTTCAGTCGGTTAAGCATCTGCCTTCACCTCAGGTCATGATCCCAGGGTCCTGGGATTGAGCTCCTTATCAGGTTTCCTGCTCAGCGGGGAGTCTGCTTCTTCCTCCCCCTCTGCCCCTCCCTCCTGCTTGTTCTCTCTCTCTCTCTCTCTCAAATAAGTAAAATCTTAAAACAAAAACAAAAACAAACCCATCTGTATGCTGGCTACAAGTGACTCACTTTAGATGTAAGAACACACACAGATGGAAAGTGAAGGATTGGAAAAAGATATTGCAACCAAGAGAAAGCTAGAGTAGCCATACTTATGTCAGACAAAACAGACATTAAAACAAAGACTTTAATAATAGACAAGGATGGGTGTTACATAATAATAAAAAGGTCAACCCAACAAAATGATGTAATAATTGTAAATATTTATGCACCCAATATAGGAGCACCTAAATATATAAAGCAAATATTAACAGACTTTAAGGGAGAAATAGACCCCAGTACAATGACAGGGAATTTTAATACCCCCACTTACACCAAGGGCTAGATCATCCAGACAGAAAATCAATAATGAAACTTTGGCCTTAAATACCGTAATACCAGATGGACTTAACAGATAGACACAAAACATTCCAACCCAA